TTGGGGCTAGTGGCAAATGCTGAAATAAGGGGGTGTATAAGTGGAGTATCGCATCTGACAGAAACGAGGACGAGCATCGAGGATGTGACAATCGTGGCACGGCGACATTTTACATGTGGAAAGTGTGGCTGACATTTGACGGTAATCAAACTGGCCACTCCAACCGTGACATGTGTAGAATTGTGCGCGTGGCCAAGAGCTTGAGGCAACTAGTGCGGTGAGAAACTCCGGTATCGGGCATTGCGATATCCACGAGAGTGGTAAGGGGACTGTTGCGAGCGAGGGTAGAATCCCGGGGTGGTTTAGAGCTACGCCATTTCGACCCCGCTGTGTATGCGGTCTGAGATGCTGTCTCCGCTAGAGGTCGATATGACTCCCACCGACGGCGGTCGTTCCAAGCGGGCGAAGACTGCGCCGTCATGGTTAGCTGAATCATATGAATACGGGGAGCGGAAGAAGAAAGGATGACGCCTACCGGAACCCAAGAGCCGTAAAACAAGCACAGGAAAATGTGGCGCGGAGGATAAGAACGCGGGGCATGACGAAGGTAACATTTGTGACGTGACAAGTACGTTGCATTTCATGTACCAGTGCTAATGCATGACTGTGGTGAGATATGCCGTATGCGCACGCAAACTTAACACCCTTCTACCTACCACGCACCTGGTCACAGAGACTCGAGAAGTGCCGCTGCAGATATGCAGCGCCAAGGCTGTCGGGGTCGTCGACGCGGAGGCAGCCTGCACGCCCATTGTCGCCAGCGCACCACAGGGGGAGGAGGACACCGAGGCCGTGAAGGAACGCCTGATAGACGAGTTAATGGAAGGCGAAGATGAGGACGACGAGGAGGGAAACGCTGGTGGTCAGTCGTCAAGCAACGATCCGTGTGGCGAGAACGGATCAGAGGAGGAGCAGGCCACACAAGCGCCACATTCGAGGAAGCGGAAAGAAGCAGCCGATGGCCACGTCACACGCGAGGGATTTGATGCGTTGCGTGATTCCCAGAATGATACCGCGAAGACACTGGCTCGTCTGGAGTCACACGTACTAACCATCATCCGCCTTGGCGAAGGGCGTAAGCGCAAGCGGGCGTCCACAAGTGCCGCAGCCTCGCTCGGCCGGGAAGCTTCGAAGCGGAAACGCCAGTCAGATGATGACGAAGAATCCACGTGCGATGAGGACGAGTTGCCGGCGAAAGTGGCACGGCACGCGCGTCACGACAAGTCGCCAGTGCTCCAAACCGCCCTTGACATCCTTCCAGCGGAGAAGGCTTGGAAGGTGAGGCCTCGCATAGTGTGTTCTGCTCACCTCGTGGCACAGTTGTTGGATGCACTACATATCTCGTCACCGTGTTCCCCCTCGCACAACTATTTTCATTGTCGCAGGGTGTTTGCGACCTGGTTAAGGATCATCTGTTTCTAGAAGCCCCGAACGAGAAGATGGACTTCTATCCGAGTCGCGACGCCAAAAACGCCGGCCTATGCCATGTCGTGTCCACCATTCCTCCCAAAACTGCGACTCTGGCGTTAGACGCGGATAAGGCTCGACGGCAGGATCTGAACAAGACCTTGTCCGAGTACAAAACAGGGTTGGCCGGTCGCGCTCGCGGAGTTTTTCTTCCACGAATTGGTCTTTTCCGTGACGACGAGGACAGGGCCAGTCCTTGGGCACGTAAGACGGAGCGCACTGGGGAGCGTGCCCGAAAGAGATATTGCGTCCCCGTCCCAGACGATGGTGCGTGTTCGCATGTCATATGGCCGGAGCAATTATGGCCGCAACTCCTGTGTCGTGCCATAGTGGACCAGACATGTCTTTGAACCCTCCCCTTTTTCCGTGCGCGGTATCGTTGTACCCATTTTGCATTCCACGTGCGCAGGGGACCCGACCTTGTGCAAGTGGCACATCAGCAAGGATGGACTGCCTTTTGCATCCGGAGCGTTCGCGGCATGTGCCATCGCGGCTTTCGGAGGGAAGCGGAAGGACAAAGAAACAACTCTAAAGCTATACCACCTTTCGTGGCTCGAGCACCTTGTACGTTTACACCGATGTGAACATATGTTGTAGCCACTTTCGTTCAACTAGCCGTTCTAACTGGGCTTCTCCTGCCTTCGCAGATCACGGACGCCATTATCAACTGGGAGAAGCGCAAGGGGAAACTGCACAACTCTCCGTGCGAGAACTGCGCTTCTGTGCGGAGGATTCAGAAGCTGGCCTTCGATGCCATTGCGGATGCAGTATGCCGGAAAGAAGTGGCCTACGACGAGGAGAAGAAGTCCTGGAAGTGGGGCAGGCATGGGCTCCGTCTATCATCTTGCGGCCTGGAATGCCTCCTGGAAGATGAAGCAGCCTCCGAAGACGAAGAACATGAGTCCTCCGCGTCGGAAGCATCGGATAGTGAAACAGATGGGTGAAGTGCTGACAGTGTGTTTAATCCAATTGTGTGTCGTAGACTAGTGTAGTGGTTTAGTGGGGACAGGTTGTGGTTGTTGTTGGTTCAGTGCATATGTGCAATAAATCGGTGACATATATGTCAGATCTTGCACACCTAGGGGAGACCTTGCGCATCTTGGACACGAGGCTGGTTGAAACGCAACTCTCTGCATTCCGCGCAGTACGGCGACAATTGCGGCGCTAATCGCGGCGACATATGCGGCGGGTTAAATAGGAGCCGTTAGATGTCACGCTAGTCTAGCGACGTGGATAGAGGGCAAACGTACAATCCGCCGAACCGCTCTTGAATGCGCACGGCCCTTTTTTTAGACCGACGACGGTGTCCAATGGCTATTTGCCACGTGTGTGATGGAGATGGTCACAGGTGTGTTATCGTGAGATCCGCGACGATTACGTGTGAACGTGCGATTGGTATCAGTAGTCCTAGTTGGGAAACCCTATCTCCGAACGGACGGCGTGTGTAGGTACAGGTGGATTCCACTACGCATCGAGGGATGACATTTGTATCGGACGGACGGTAGAGATGAGGCGTATGTGTGTGAGATCTGGAGTTTGTCGGCGTATCCGGAGCGGCCATGTGCCGTGCTGCGGTTGGCAGAGCGGAGTTGCCACGCGACAATCGCGGTCGTACAACTGTGGCCATCTCGACCGTACATGCGGCACGATACGATTCGTTATGGTTGGGCATCCACCTGTCATAAAGCGTGATTACACGTGTAGATATTATGCTGACGTGGAATAGTGACTTCATGTATGCTAATCGGCAGCTATGTGGCAACGCACAGGTGTAACCGTGGAGTGTTCGCATGGTGACGCAAATGTCACTGACAGGTACATGACGTAGAAGCGACCCCCATGACGCTGTGCGGGTTGCGGCCATGTTGCGGGAAACGTTGCTAAAAAGCTGCGGGAAATTTGCGGGAAAACCACTTTCCCTGTAACCCTGACCCAGAAGCCTTTGACCTAGACTTTTTTCTTGCGAAACCAAAGTTGCAGAAAAGCAACTTTGAAGCTGCGGGGACGCAACTTTTTCGGCCTTGGATTTTCGCGATGGAGAGGGAGACGACACATACGCAGCAAGGGGGAATGGAAGAGGGGGATACGACGTTAGGCTGCAAAGGGGAGTGGGAGGCAGACGAAGGTGAGGCTGCATGGAGGAATGGGAGCAGCCTGAGATCAGGGGTGAGGTCGCAATGAAAGCCATGATCACAAAGAGCAAGACGGCAGGTAGCGGAAAGGAGAGTTTTGAGGTGACTTAAAACGGATTTCGAGTCGATTTAAAACGGATTGCCGAGTCGGCTCGAAACGATTCCCCGAGCGACTAAAAAAGGGGGGACTGGGAGCGAGAGAGACGGAGGGTGAGGGTGGAGGAAGTCGAGATTACGGAATTACAGGGACGGCAGTACCGGGAGGGGACCGAGGAAGGGAGCGGAAAAGCTTGGAGCTTACAGCGTTACTAGTATACTAAAAACTAAAATCCGTACCATTGTGAAAGCAGCCCTAACACAGCGCGGCTACGAAATTCGGTTGGCTCCACGCTGAAGAGCGTAGAAGCTCGCTAGCTAAGCAATGGCGTAAATGGGAGGGGAACGATGCTGCTGTTGCCAGACCTGCTCCTATTGTTTGTGCTGAGGACATTCCCTAGGTTGTGCGGAGCAGATCAGGCTTTCTTGTGCATATTGGTGAATACCAATCGGTTCAACGCGGTAAGGCTGACAAACATTGTGCTCAATCGCTTCACCGAAGCGCGACTGATCACTGACAGAGTGATGTGCAGGTCTGCAGTTGGCGGGAATTTCAAATGTTTCCGCACGTGTTACGTTTGAAGCACATAAGCTCAGCACATGATCAAGTTCAGATTTGTGAAACAATAAATAAACAGCTCAGCAATTGAAAAAGGATGTGCTTATAGAATGTTTATCATGGAGCGTTTGAATGTTTATCATATTTATCAGCTAGATTCTAAAGGTCCGCACCTTTATCCGCAGGATGTACTTCTTTCCGCTAAACAAGGTTTTGCTCAATTAACACACGGGTGGTGTGTGGGTGGGCAATTGTGAAAGCAGGGATATGGATGCAAACATCATGCAAGAAAACAAGATTCCATGCACAGATGCTCACAAGGAGTAGATTATTGTGAATTTTTTTACTGGACAACCACACAACACACTTATTAAAGAGGTCTTTTGCCTCATTAGTAGAAACCTTGGTCACCTTTTTCCTGACCCCCTAGCCACCTCCTCCCAAGCTTGCCACATGTCAGATCTCCCTGCTCTGGACACTGCCACTCCACCCTCCCTTTCCCTCCACATAACCGGCCTCTCTCACGATGGATTTCTCCTGTCCATACTCGTCTTCCTCCTCCTCCTCTTCTTGGTCAAGTTTTGAGGCACCTTAAAAACCGTCTCACCTGCTTCTCTCAAAATCAGATTCTCCCGCTTATGTGCCTGATTGCCCATACTCGTCCTCCTCGGCTGCTTCTCGGTCCCCTCCTCTCCGACTTCCAGCCCTGGTATAACCAGACGTCATTCTCCCAAGCTTGCCACATCTCACATCTCCCTGCTCGGGGCACTGTCACTAGTCCAACCCGTGGTCGACCCCCCTGCCCTCCACACACCCTCACTGCTGCTGCTCGTGTACCCTCCACCGCCCACGCTCCCAGAAACCCCTACCGTTCCCTGCCTTCCGTGTCCCTCACCCTTCGCTCCCGTCATATTGTCGTAAACCTCTTGACCGTACTCCATCTCTTCCTCATCATCATTAAACCCCGGCACTAGAGCCCCTTCGTTTGCCATGTCCTCCCAGAATCGCTCCTCACTAACCGCACTGGTACCCGTGCTAAAAGCAGCGCTACTAGCACCAGTGGTACTAACGCCAGGGCTGGCACCAGTGCTAGCCTTACTGCTAGCGCCACTGTTGAAAGTAGCAGAGGAGACACCAGTACCAGCACCACTAGCACCACCAGCAGCACCAGCAGCAGCAGCAGCAGCAGCAGCAGCGTCACCACCACCAGTGCCAGTACCACCACCACCATCACTGCCAGCATCATTGCCACCACCACTGGTTCCTCCCCGGAGCCTCGCAATCTGGATAACCCTCGCCCGCATGGCGTCCAGCTCAGCTGCCACGTGTTGCATGGCGGGGCGGTCCTGCGACAGCCTGGCGCTGCAGCGCATGCCCAGCTTGAGAAACCACTCAAACGTCGCCTCCACCTCCTCGGGAATACCGCCCTGGGTGCTCCCTTGGGATGGCCCTGCGCTATCCACTACCACCTCCACACTCCCTCCTCCTCCTCCTCCTCCTCCCTCCATCGCTCCTACCGCATTCAGCAGTGCAGGGTTACCCCCACCAGTGAGCAACACCGGATCGATGACAGCTGTCGCGCCCCTGCCGCCCGCCATGACGCGCTTGATGACGAGCTGCCGGATGTGCTGGTTGTCGCTGATTGGCCGGAGCCCTGTGGCTATTTCCAGCAGCACGATGCCAAAGCTGAACACGTCGCTCTTCTCAGTGAGCAGGTCTGACATGTAGTACTCAGGGTCTAGGTAGCCCTGGGAGGGAGGTGATGGGGAAAGAAAAAGGGATACGGGGAGAGGGAGGAATAGAGCGGGATTGGCCGGAGGCCCGTGGCAATCCCCAGCAGCACGATGCCGAAGCTAACACACATCACTCTTCTCAGTGAGCAAGACAGACATGTAGTACTCGGGGTCCAAAGTGACACCTTCACCTTCTCCTATAGTCACATACATACCCCCCCCGTTATAATCACCCCTCTTATAGTCACACCACACCACGTACCACGGTGCCCTTGACCTGCGTGCCCAGCTGCTCCCCCCAGCCTCCATCACGGCCTTGGAGATCCCAAGGCCATGCACGTGTGCCTTATAGTTACAACCACATATAGCCACACCCCGTTATAGTCACATCACCACGTACCACGGTGCCCTTGACCTGTGTATCCAGCTACTCCCCTTCCATCACCGCCTTGGAGATCCCAAAGTCTGCCACCTTCATGCCCAGAAGCCCCAATTCACAAATCACTTGTGTCACATGCACATATAATCACACCTCGTACAGTCACACCACCACGTACCACGGTGCCCTTGACCTGCGTGTCCAGCTGTTCCCCTTCCATCACCGCCTTGGAGATCCCAAAGTCAGCCACCTTCGCCTCCCCTGCTGCCGTGATCAGGATGTTGGCCGTCTGTGGTGGGGTGGGGAGCGGCAAGGTTGAGTTGAGTGAGGTGGAGGGAGATGCGGGTAGGGGAGCAGGGGCATTGGGGGGTAGCAAGATTGCAAAGTCAGCCACCTTCGCCTCCCCTGCTGCTGTGATTAGGATGTTGGCGGTCTGGGGTGGGGTGGGGTGGGGTGGGGTGGGGTGGGGTGGGGTGGGGTGGGGGAGCAGAATGGTAATTGGTTTAGGGCTAGTGAGATGCCAATTCTGCCACCTTCGCCTCCCCTGCTGCTGTGATCGGGATGTTGGCCGTCTGTGGTGGGGACGGGCGACGGCCATGGCCAGTGTGGGCAGTGGGGAAGGAAGGGGAAGTGGCGTGATTGGGGGCATTGGGGAGAGTGAGATTCCAAATTCCGCCACCTTTGCCTCCCCCGCTGCTGTGATTGGGATGTTGGCCGTCTGTGGTGGGGTGGGTTGCGGTGAGGCGAGGTGGAGGGAAATGGGGAGAGATGGGGAGAGGTGGGGAGAGGTGGGGGCGGATCATAAGAGTGAGATCCCAAAGTCCACCACCTTGGATGTGGCCTCCAATAACGCTGTGATGATTGTGGGCCCACTTGCACGCACACATACACGCAATGTCGCACACGTGCACGCATACCCGCACACACTAACACATTCTCTCCCACCCACCTTCACGTTGCGGTGAATGATAGGCGGCTTGATCTGATGGTGCAGGTAGGCGAACCCCTTTGGGTTTTGAAACGTCCCTCGCACCCTCTCCTCCTTTCATCACTCACACCTCCCCCAACCCCCCGTTTCCCACCTTCACGTCTCGGTGAATGATAGGCGGCTTGATCTGATGGTGCAGGTATGCGAACCCCCTGGCTGCTCCACAGGCGATGTCCAACCGCTGCTTCCATGTCAGGTGCAAGTCGGACTTGCCTGGTGCGTTGTGGGGGGGTTGAGGGAGAGTAAATTGGAGGAGCGAGAGGAGGGGATGAGAGAGGATGGAGCGGACAGGGAGATACAGTACAGCTTCATACAGCAGCCACGCGAACCCCCTGCCTGCTCCCCATGCAATGCCCAACCCAGCTTGTTGTGCTTGTCTCGACAGGCAGGCGCGTGCCTGACGAGCCTGGGGCATTGTGGGTTTCCTTTTTTTTTAGAATTCTAAAAACACAGATCCAGAATGCAATGTCCAAGTTGTTGTGCCACGACAGGCGCGTGTCTGGCGAGCCTGGGGCATTGTGGGGGGGTTGAGGGAGAATGAGGGAGAGGATGGAAGGAGTGAATGGAAGGAGGTCGTTTTTCTCGATAAACTCATACACCAGCAGCTGCTCCCCTGCCTCCACACAGAAGCCCCGCAGCAGCACCAGGTTGCATTATTGCTACATTTAAAAGCTTCCTCACCTCTCAGCACCACTTCACACCTCCTCTCACCTCTCAGTATGTCCTCCAGGGTGCCCTTCTCAATGAATTCATACACCAGCAGCTGCTCCCCTGCCTCCACACAGAAGCCCCTCAGCACCACCAGGTTGCGGTGCCGCACTGCCGACAGCAGCTCTATCTCGTTGCGAAACTCCTTGCCGTTCACCTGGGGGTGTTGGGTGGTGTAGAGCGGTGTAAGGGAGTGTGCTGTGGTATAAGAAGGTCAAAGGGAGTGTGACAAGGTCAGCAGAAGCCCAGCCCCTGAGCAGAACCAGGTTGCGATGGCGCACTGCCGACAGCAGCTCTATCTCGTTTCGGAACTCCTTGTCGTTCACCTGGGGGAACAAGGAGAACAGAAAGGTGTAGCGCACTGTAGGAAGGCGAAAACGGAGTGTGGTGCGGTATACGGAGGTTAAAAGGAGTGCTCCGCGGTCTACAGAAGCCTCTGAGCAGAACCAGGTTGCGGTGGCGCACTGCCGACAGCAGCTCTGGCTCGTTTCAGAACTCTTTCCCATTCACCTGGTGGAATAGGAAGGTATACCATGGCACAAAGGGAGTTGTATGTGGTGTGGGGCGGTTGAAGGGAGTTCAGGAGGTCAGCCCCAACCCCTGAGCAGCACCAGGTTGCGGTGCCGCACTGCCGACAGCAGCCCTATTTCGCTGCGGAACGCAGCTCCATTCACCTGAGAGAACAGAAAGGTGTATAACGGTGTAGAAAGAGTTAGAGGGAGTCTGTTGTGGTATACAACGGTTGAAGGTAGTGTCGCAAGGTCAGCAGAAGCCCCTGAGCAGCACCAGGTTGCGGTGCATCAGTGCCAACAGCAGCTCTATCTCGTTCCGCAACTCTTTGCCGTTGACCTGGTGGAATCAGAATAGTTCAAGGGAGTGTGGTGTGGTGTGGAACAGTTGAAGGGAGTAATCAAAGGTCAGAAGAAGCCCCATAGCAGCACCACGCCTGACAGCAGCTCTATCTCGTTGCGAAACACTTTTCCATTCACCTGGTGGAATAGGAAGGTATACCATGGCACAAAGGGAGTTGTATGTGGTGTGGGGCGGTTGAAGGGAGTTCAGGAGGTCAGCCCCAGTCTGGTGGGATAGGAAGGAAAGAGAGCAAGTGCAACCACGGCTCAACAGTCACTTACACACGCATGCTTCTTCAGCTGATCTCACGCCTACAGGGCAATTTTGAGAGTTCTCAAGAATAACTTACACACGGATGTTCTCTCAGCTGACCTCACGCCTACTCAATTCATGCATCCTAACCATGCAGCCTCCCATCAACCATACATGCTCATAATCGTCAGCACCGCATTCAACCCACCTGCACGTCTGGCTTGGCCCGTTTGACCGCCACCTTCTCCCCTGATGGCAACTGCCCGTGATACACCTGTTGGGCGTGCGGTGGGGTGGCATGGGGTGGGGTGGGATGAGGTGGGGTGGGGTGAGCTGGCGTGAGCTGGGGTGAGCTGGGGTGGGGAACGGTGCACAGAGAGGAGGCTGGGAGAGGGCTGGGGGGGCATTCTACCGCCCCCTCTCACCTGACGCAAACTTCCCGTGGTACCCCTGAGGGTCGCATATGCCGTGCCAGCTCCCCCAGCTTTGAATTCCTCACCCCCACTGCAATAAAAGTCGAAGTTGTGATGTCTCAAAATCCGTGTGTTGGGCTGGGCTGACTTTTGAGTCGACTCAAAAGTTGAATTTGTGACGTCTCAAAATCCGTGTTTTGGGTCCACTCAAAACACTTCCTCATCCCCACTGTGACAAAACTTGGATTTTGAGACGTCTCAAAATCCGTGGTACCCCTGAGGGTCGCATCTACCAGCTCCCCCAGGTTGAAAACCAACCCCCATTTCCTCACTCCCACTGCCTGGCTGGCTGTACCATCCCAGATGCGCCCTCCCCTCACAGACGTACCCACCCCGCACACCTGCCCCATATAACCTTCTTCTTCAGTTCGTACCTGTCCGTATCCGCCCTCCCCCAGCAGTGTCTTGAACCCCTGGGTCGCATCGGCCAGCTCCGCCAGCTTGAATCGCTGCACGCCCACCAGGTTCAGCCCCTCTATCGCCTCATAGTCCTCCTTCCCCCACCAGTCTGGTGCATGTGTGCGGGTGGGGGAGGAAGGGAGGGTGGGCGGGTGGGGAGGGAGGGAGGGGAGGAGGAAGGGGGAATTGAAGGTAAAGGAGGTACCAGTGCATCGGCCAGCTCTGCCAGCCTGAACCGCTGCACGCCCACCAGTTTAAGCCCCTTGATCACCTCGTCATCCTCCTTCCTTTGAGGCGCCTCAAAATTTTGAGGCGCCTCAAAAGACGCCCACCAGTTTAAGCCCCTTGATCACCTCGTAATCCTCCTTCTCGCACCAGTCTGGTTTGGGGTGGAGTGGAGGGGACAGGGGACGTGAAACAGGGCGTGGAGGGGTGGTAGATGGGTGGGACAGGAATGGGACGTGGGGAGAGGGCAGATACTCGTCTCAGAGGGGAAGGGGAAGGGGAAGGGGAAGGGGAAGGGGAAGGGGAATAATACTCCAGGTCCTTGAGTTTGATTGAACTACCTCAGATTTTTGAGTCGACTTGAAAATCGACTTATCACACACGTTTTGAGCTGACAAAAGCAAAAAAAAGGAGGAATGATACTCCAGATCCTTGATTTTGAACTGCTTCAGGCCATATTTTTTGCGCCCTCTGCCTGCAACGAGGTGAGTTTCAAGATGCGCCACTTCTGCTGCCACCATGCTCGCTACTGCTGCCACCATGCTTGCTACTGCTGCCACCATGCTCGCTACTGCTGCCACCATGCTCGCTACTGCTGCCACCATGCTCGCTACTGCTGCCACCATGCTCGCTACTGCTGCCACCATGCTCGCTACTGCTGCCACCATGCTCGCTACTGCTGCCACCATGCTCGCTACTGCTGCCACCATGCTCGCTACTGCTGCCACCGTGCTCGCTACTGCTGCCACCGTGCTCGCTACTGCTGCCACCATGCTCGCTACTGCTGCTCACGACACTCTTGAGTCATTTCCAAATTCACCTCTTGAGTTGATTCGAAAGCTTACCTCGCCTTTTCTGACGGTGCAGCAGCAGCCAGGTAAGCCCCACGAGCAGCAGTGCGAGAATCGCCACTCCCCCTGCCAATATACCCACCACTACAACAACTGCAATCCCCCCTGGCGCTGGTGGTGCCGGTGATGTGACGTTGGCATGAGGGTCTGAAAGAGAGGGGGGTTGAGGGCCAAGGATGAAAAGGAGGTGAATGGTGAGTTCAGACCTTTTAAAGTCGGTTCCTGCTTTGAGACGTCTCAAAACACTACTTTTATCCCGGAGGGTCTGAAGAAAGGGGGGTTGAGGGCCAAGGAGGAAAGGAAGGTGAAACGAGTGAGTCGGATCAGGAGCCCAGTAAGAGGACCTTGTGGGCGTCAAGGCAACGCAAGACAATACTCACATCACAGCACTCACAGCACTCACCATCCGGGCCATAGAACCCCTGAATGGTGTACGGCCCCATGGCAGAGCCCAGTAGGAGGAGCTTGTGGGCGTCAAGGGCAGGAAGCTCACCACCTCTCACACCACTAGCACTAACGACAGCAGCAGCAGCAGCACAAGACAGCACTCACCATCTGGGCCGTAGAACCCCTGGATGGTGTATGGCCCCATGGCAGAGCCCAGTAGGAGGAGCTTGTGGGCGTCAAGGGCAGGAAGCTCACCACCTCTCACACCACTAGCACTAACGACAGCAGCAGCAGCAGCACAAGACAGCACTCACCATCTGGGCCGTAGAACCCCTGGATGGTGTATGGCCCCATGGCAGAGCCCAGTAGGAGGAGCTTGTGGGCGTCAAGGGCAGGAAGCTCACCACCTCTCACACCACTAGCACTAACGACAGCAGCAGCAGCAGCACAAGACAGCACTCACCATCTGGGCCGTAGAACCCCTGGATGGTGTATGGCCCCATGGCAGAGCCCAGTAGGAGGAGCTTGTGGGCGTCAAGGGCAGGAAGCTCACCACCTCTCACACCACTAGCACTAACGACAGCAGCAGCAGCAGCACAAGACAGCACTCACCATCTGGGCCGTAGAACCCCTGGATGGTGTATGGCCCCATGGCAGAGCCCAGTAGGAGGAGCTTGTGGGCGTCAAACAGATTCGGGATCCTCTTTTTGTAGGTCCGGGCGGGCTCTTGCTGCCACCCGGGGTCGTCTAGCGGGGGGAAGAAGAGGATGGTCACGGTGACGTCGCTATCCGTGGCGGTAGGGATTAGGATGCTGCTGATGACGATCTGATGGGCGGGGGTGGAGGTGATTGGGTGGGGTGGAGAGGGATGCGCAGAGGATGAGAGAGGGGGGGAAAAGAGGATGGTCACGGTGACATCGCTATCCGTGGCGGTAGGGATTACGATGCTGCTGATGACGATCTGATGCGGGGGGGAGGGAGGGGAGGAATTGAATGGTGGGGAGAGAACAGGGATCGTGATGGTGGGGAGAGAACAGGGATCATGATGGTGGGGAGAGAACAGGGATCGTGATGGTGGGGAGAGAACAGGGATCATGATGGTGGGGAGAGAACAGGGATCATGATGGTGGGGAGAGAACAGGGATCGTGATGGTGGGGAGAGAACAGGGATCATGATGGTGCTGCTGATGGTAATTTGATTTGATGAAAGAAGGGGAGGAGGGACAGAGCAGGGGAGAGGGGCGGAGAGAGGAATGGAGAGGGATGGAGAGGGATGGAGAGGGGCGGAGAGGGATGGACAGAAGATATCGAGGAGAGAGGGTGACGGGGGTTAAAAAGTGGTGGGGATTTGTTGAGGGGGGAGGAGGGACAAAGCAGGGGAGGGGGGAGGAGAGAGGGAGGAATGACCTATTGAGAGGGGAAGGAGGGAGGGATGAGGGCGATAGGAAGATATGAGCAGGGGTGGAGAGAGGCAACCACCCACCCTCCCGCCCACCCGCCCACCCTCCCACCCACCCTCCCACCCGCCCGCCCACCCTCCCACCCACCCACCCAACCACCCACCCACCCACCCACCCACCCACCCACCCACCCACCTGCAACCACTTCATCTTCACGCCTTGCCTTTGCAAGTTGGTCCGGAGCCATCCCCTAATTTTGTTCACAATGTCCCGGTTGTAAGTGGTGTACTGCGGTGCCAGCATCCTCAGCTGCACCTCTAGGGTGGTCACGCAGCTGCAGTTCTTATTCGAAAGCTTGAAGAGCGGGTAGTTGGGGTGGTAGTATTGGTCGCAGGTCAGGCCTGTGCAGAACGGCGGGAGCTTGTATGCGGGGAACTCGGCGGGCGGAGAGCAGACCGTGAAGAGATTGGGCTGATAGGGCGAGCAGAGGGGATTCCCGTAGAGCCTGGAGAGGGGTGGAGAGGGGTGGAGAGGGGTGGAGAGGTGCAGACTGTGAAGATGTTGGGGTGATAGGGCGAGCAGAGGGGATTGCCGTAGAGCCTGGAGAGTGGGGTGGAGAGGGTGCAGAGAGGGGTAGAGATGGACAAGATACGAGCATTACAATCACTCACTGTCGGTCTTAAAAGATGGACTAGATACTCGCCTCGCCGTACGCTTTAAAAGATGAAACACGCAAAAGCACTCACTGCGTTTCGAGTTTCTTGTGGGTTGTGTTAATAAGGAGGTTGCTTGGAGCACTGGTGAAGTGGTTGCTTGGAGCACTGGTGAAGTGGTTGCTTGGAGCACTGGTGAAGTGGTTGCTTGGAGCACTGGTGAAGTGGTTGCTTGGAGCACTGGTGAAGTGGTTGCTTGGAGCACTGGTGAAGTGGTTGCTTGGAGCACTGGTGAAGTGGTTGCTTGGAGCACTGGTGAAGTGGTTGCTTGGAGCACTGGTGAAGTGGTTGCTTGGAGCGAGAACAACATCATTCTTGGTTCTGAGGTGCCTCAGAAGTGCCCCCGTGAACTATCTTTTGAGCCGTCTCAAGAAGAGAGAAACAACAAGCTTGGCTTCTGAGGTGCCTCAAAGGTGCCCCCCCTTGAATTTTCAACCTCTCACTGCATCTTGAAATCGTCGTGGCTTGTGTTGACTAAGAGGCGGCTTGCAGACCTGGTGACTGGTGAACATCAACGGTTGGTGAAGTGGTTGTTACAGAGAAAGAGCAACATTAACGCGGGGAGCTGCCTCAAATCAAAAGCCCCCTGTAGTTTCAGCCACTCACTGGGTCATGAGATTTTCCTTGGTATTGTTGGTTGGGTGAACCAGGAGGTCGCTGGGAGAACTTGTGAAGTGGTTATCACGGAGCGAGAGGAGCATCAATGAAGGAGCCTCAAATCAGACCCCCCCCTCCTGTATTTCCAACCACTCACTGGGTCATGAGTTTGTCCTTAGTATTCTTGGTCGGGTTAACTAGGAGGTCGCTTGGAGCACTTGTGAAGTGATTATCGTAGAGCGAGAGGAGCATCAATGCGGGGAGCTGCCTCAGCTTGGGGATGTCACCCGTCAGGTTGTTGCCAGACAGGGATCTGTGTGGAGCGGGTGTCGAGAGGAGTGGGTGTTGAGTATAGTGGGGTGTTGAGAGGAGTGGGTGTTGAGAGGAGCGGGTGATGAGAGGAGCAGGTGATGAGACGGGTGCTGAGTGTTTATAGGAACTACTGCTGCTCCGGGTAAATGGTATAATAAAATAGAGTGTAGGCAAAAAAAAAACAAACTGGGGTAAGTTGGGCCTTACATTGTGCAAAGATTAGGTAAGTCTGCAGCGGCTGCATCAGGAGGTATGGTCCCTGTGAGATTGTTGTCCTGAAGGTTTCTGCAGGCAAGGGGGTGGGGGTGGGAGGAGGAATGGTGAGAAACGGGGTGGTGGGAGAAGAGGGACGGTGGGATGTGCACCTTTGAGAAAACACATCATACATGCGAGCCCATGCCACCCACATGATACATATTTTACATTTGAGTGCACAAATCATATGTGCGATAGCACACCTGCTAAAGCAGAAATCACGGCTTACATAGTGACGAGATTGGAATGGGAAGTGAAGAGGGTAGGCGGGATGGTGCCATTGAACTGGTTCTTGGTCAATTCCCTGCAGAAGAAGATTTGGGGTTGGGGTTGGGAGGGAGGGGGTTGTTGGGGCGGGGATGGTGGGGAGGGAAACTTCGCTGCAGAAGAGGATTTGGGGTTGGGGTTGGGAGGGAGGGCGGGATGGAGCCATTGAACTGGTTCTTGTTCAATTCACTGCAGAAGAGGGTTTGGGGTTGGGAGGGGGTTGTCGGGGATGGTGGGGAGGGAGACTTTTGAGGCGCCTCAAAAGAGGGAGGGCGGGATGGGGCCTGTGAACTGGTTCTTGTTCAATTCACTGCAGAAGAGGGTTTGGGGTTGGGAGGGGGTTCTTGTGGCGGGGATGGTGGGGAAGAGAAGCAGGAGCAAGTTTTTCTAAAGCAACCACGGCTCTTTGCGTAATCCAGAAAATAATATAACATCGCGATAGATTTAGAGGGCGTAATTACACAGGGGTCATGCCGTGGCATGGCATGGGCATGGCATGACAGCATGGCAAGGCATAGCTGGCATGGCATGGCACGGCACAACAGGGAACGACATGGCACGTCACAGGATAGCACGGCACAGCAGGACATTGCATGGCATGGCACGGCACTGCATAGTACGGTACGACACGGCATGGCACAGCATGCACAACATTGCACGTCATGTCATGGTGCAGCACGGCATAACACGGGACGGCATGGCATGGCATGGCACGGCAAATCACTACACAGCATTGTGTGGCAAGGCACGGCATAGCACAGCATGGCATATCCTGGCCTGGCATGGCATGTCCTGGCCTGGCATGGCATTGGCATAGCGTGGGCATGGGCATGGCATGGCATAGCATGGCATGGCATGGAATAGCATGGCATGGGCATGGGCATGGCATGGCATGATACGAGAAAACGCACAGATCAGCAAGGGCAGGTAGGAGGTCGAAAGAGGGCAGAGGCTGGGGCGGCAAGTGGGAATTGTAGAGGATCCTGAGGGGAATAGAGGGGGGTGAGGCATTGGGTAATGGGCATGTGGAGTCACACGCAATCAGGAGTGAGAAGGTCAGAAGGAGAGAGAGGGCCCGAAAAAATGGGAGTTCATGGGAGTGGGTGCATGAGAGGTGAGGTGCGGTGCAGATGATTATTGAGTCGATTGGGAAGCAAGGCACGGTTGCAGAGTAGTCTGGTGGGTGAGGGCGAGGAGAGCTGTTACGTAACATGGAGTTACTATGAGAAAATTAATCTAGAACCCAGTGGGAGAGGGTGTGTGGGTGAGGGCGATGAGAGCTGTACTTAGTATGGGGCATGAGAGGGAGAAGATAAGAAGGGAAGTGAAGGAAAGGTCTGAAGATTGGAGGTAGGAAGTGAAGGCAAGTGGTGATGGAGTGGATGGAGCACGAGGGGTGATGGGAGGGGTGATGAGAGGGGTGATGGGAGGGGTGATAGGAGGGGTGATGGGAGGGGTGATAGGAGGGGTGATGGGAGGGGCGATGGGAGGGATGATGGGAGGGGTGATAGGAGGGGTGATGGGAGTGGCGATGGGAGGGATGATGGGAGGGGCGATGGGAGGGGTGATGGGAGGGGTGATGGGAGGGGTGATGGGAGGGGTGATGGGAGGGGTGGTGGGAGAGGAGGTGGCGAAAGGGGTTGTGGGAGGGAGGGGTGGTGGGAGAGGTGAAGAGAGGGACGAGGAGAAGGAGTAGCGAAGTAGTGGAATGGAATTGGCTGGACTCTGAGAGAGATGAGGATACCGTGTCGAGACATGGGATTGTTCCTGTTATCCTGTTGTTGCTAAGGTGACTTTTAAATCGACTCAAAACGAGATGACCTTTGAGTCGACTGAAAAAAATTCACACTCACAGGCTCTCCAAACTAGACATGTCGAGACGTGGGATTGTTCCTGTTATCCTGTTGTTGCTAAGATCACTAAAATGGGAGGAAAGCAGAGAACGAGACATGCTGAGACGAGGGATTGTCCCTGATATTCTGTTGTTGCTAAAGATCACTAACTCGGGAAGGGGAGCAGCGGAAAAAAGAGATTGAGACTGGGATATAATGGGAGGAGTTGCAGAGGAATGCTTTCAGCTGTTTTATTTTTTTGGAAACTATGTATCCATGTATGTATCTGTGTGCATGTGTAAACATGTTGGGGAAACAGAGACGGGATACAATGGAAAGGGGAGGAGGATCGGAAGAATAATAAAGCACGCACAGCCATCACAAACAAGTGGAACAGTAACACACTTGTTACATATGAGAAATGCATACAAAAATGAAGGCACACACACACACGCACCCACGCACGCACTCACACGCACACGCGCGCGCACGCACACACACACAGAAAGTCACAGAGGACACACACACACACACACACCCACACACACACATACACACACACTCACCCAAACACAAACACACGCACAACCACACCCACGCACACGCACACACACACACCCACACGCACACATACACACACACACACCCACCCACAATGCTGGTGCAACCAGCGACGCATGCTTGAAAGTTGTGCTTCGAAAAGCAGAACCAAGGCTAAGCATTACAGGGATATTAGGCTGCAGAAATTAGTGATCTATGTTGGAAAGGGGTGGTGGGTGGTTACAAACACAGAACAAACACAGAACAGAACCAAGCCAAGTCAGGATAAGCATTACAGGATTTTAAGGCTTCTGGAATTAGCGATCCATGCTGGAACGTCGTGGTTCAGCTGATTGTGGTCAAGCAAGCTGATGACAGTTGGGGAAGGGAGGGGTGTAGATGAAGAGAAAGAGAGATGTTCCTCAGGGCTGTCCTCTTCTCATGATGATAGGCACCGAGCAGCAAGCGACTCATGCTGGAAAAGGGTGGTTCAGATGCCTGTGCTCCACCAGGCTGGTGACAGTTGGGGAAGGGAGGAACGCCGGCGACAATTATGGAGTGACTTTTGAGATCTCTCAAAAGTCACTCCAAGACAGTTGGGGAAGGGAGGAACGCGGGCGACAATTATGTGGATAAACAGAAAGAGGGGTGTCTCTCAAAGAGAGCTAAACTACTTGCCTCATTATTTTTTCGAAGTAATTCAGATCTCTCAATTTTAAAGCGAGGTGCACATTCCCCTTGGTTGGGCAAAGGCTTATCACTTGCCCAATAACTTTGCCAGCACTAAGAGGCTGTTGCACACTTTTTCATTGCCAGCACTAAGAAGCTGTCGCAATTTCATTTTCGTAAACCTGGCTGTATTTTTGCCCGAAACAGGCAATCTGAATGTGCACCCTCGTTTCAAGCATTTCGTATTGTTTATTATTGTATTGTCGAGCATTTTGCAATAGTTTTGTTTCATATTTTTTTTATCAAAACATCAGAGCACAGTGTCCAACCACGGATACGGGGAGGGACGGGTAAAAAAGAATGAGTTCTATAAGCGAACAGACGGATGTATGTATGTACACGTGCTTTTACAATTTTGCTACACAGATTGATGTAACTCTTAACGTACAGATGAATGAGTCTCTTAAGCGAGCCAATGGTAGAAGAGAGACTGCTGAACTTGTTGTTACTCAGATGCCTGTGGTTGGAGGAGGGATAGCGGGGCAGGCAGGGGGCGGGGGAGAAGGTGGCTGAGAAGAGGTCTGTGAAAAGGAGAAATACCAGGGCAGGCGTGAGATGTGACGCAGTTGTTACCTGTGGTTGGAGGAGAGGCAGGGAGTGGGGGGGAAGAAGGTGCAGTGAGGTGCAGCGAGGTGCAGCAAGAGGCAGTGAGGAACACTGAGGAACATGGAGGATATATGAAGGACAAGCGTCACTCACATCACAGATCATCCACTTTGGGGCCGAAGGCGATGTTTGAGTCGACTCAGAAATAGTCTCATCGCACACTGAGGAACTGTGTCACATTGTTCGAGACGTCTCAAAATCAGAGGTATGAAGAACAAGCGTCCCTCACAGGTGACTTTTGAGCCTCAGAGGTATGAAGAACAAGCGTCCCTCACAGGTGACTTTTGAGCCTCAGAGGTATGAAGAACAAGCGTCCCTCACAGGTGACTTTTGAGTTGACTCTAGAGGCACAATGAACGAGCGTCACTCACAGATGTTCCACCATGGGGCCGAAGGCAGGCACTAGTCCTTCCAGCTTGTTGCTGGTGACGTCAAAGTAGCTGAGGTTCACGAGAGAGCTTATCTGCGGGTGAAGAGGAGATGAAAAGGGTGATGGGAAGGGTGATGGAAAGAGTGATGGGGAAGGACAATAGTGGCCTTGGGTGAAATTAGCACCTTGCTGGTTGCTGGTGACGTCAATGTAGCTGAGGTTCACGAGAGAGCTTATCTGCGAGTGTAAGGGCAATGAAACGGGTGATGGGAAGGGTGATGGGAAGGGTGATATGAAGGGTGATATGAAGGGTGATATGAAGGGTGATGGGAAGGGTGATATGAAGGGTGATATGAAGGGTGATATGAAGGGTGATATGAAGGGTGATGGGAAGAGTGATGGGAAGGCGAACAGAGTTGCATTGCGTGAATATGGCACTTGCTGGTTGCTAGTGACTGAGAGCTGGTCTGACTCGACTCACACACACAGCAACTCATGTGCACGCATGGACCCACCTCAGTGGGCACATGCCCTGAGAGCTGCTTGGTTTGTTGCTGGTTGGTTTGCAACTCGGAGGTTGAGGCGACCCGGATTCGGAGGCGACTCAGAGTTTCAGGCGACTCAGAGTATCAGGCAACTCAAAAATCAACTCCCCTCCAAGGGAATGGGTCCCGTGAAATTGTTGGCATTGAGATTGAGCATCTGCAGGCCGGTCAGTGCTGCCAGTGTTGACTTCAGAGGTGCCTCAAAAGACCCTTGAGGCGCCTCAAAAGGCATGGACTCACCTCTGTGGGAATGCGTCCCGTGAGATTGTTGGTGTTGAGATCGAGCATCTGAAGGCCGGTCAGTGCCGCCAGTGTTGTCGGGAGCGAATCCGTGAAGCTACACCCAGAGAGGGCCCTGCTAGGGAAGCGAGGAAAGGGCACAGCAGAGTTCTAGTTTTGAGGCGCCTCAAAACTAAGCTACACCCAGAGAGGGCCCTGCTAGGGAGGTGAGGAAAGGGCGCAGCAGAGGAACGTGAAAGGAAGGGGTTGTGAGAGCTGCTTGCTGTAGGCATCAAACGATAAAAGGCCAGTCAGTGCCGCCAGTGTTGTTGGGAGTGAATCCGTGAAGCTACACTCAGAGAGAGCCCTGCTAGGGAGGTAAGGGGAGGGGGCATCACAGAGGGACAATGTGAAATGATTGGGCCTTCCAAAAATTGGTTGGTTGCTGTTGTGACTTTTGAGTCGATTCAGAAGTCGCCTTGGCAGCACAGTGGGACAATGTGAAAGAAACGGGCCTATCAAGAAATAGTTGGCTTGGCTGCAATTGCATTGCTACTGGCGAACTGCTTGTTATCGGCATCGAACCATATGAGGCTAGCCTGTGCAGCCAGTGCTGACGGGAGTGAACAGGGAAATGCCCGTCCGTACCCTGCCCGATGCGGTTTTTGAGAATTCTAAAAAACCGTCTGTACCCTGCCCGATGCGCCTCAAATTTGAACCTGGAAACTTGCACCCATACCCGGCTCAGGTAGAGCATATCTATTTCGGGTCGCTCGCCCTGACCTGTTGCTCATGACTGCTCGAAACCTAACCCTGAACCCGTACCCGGTTCAGGCCGAGCAAAATTATTTCGGGTCGGGTCGACCTAACCCGTTGCTCATGTATACTCGTGTTTGCTAGTCCAGAGACCCAGTGCTTGAGGTACCTCGTTGTTGCAGGGTGATTTTGAGAATTCTCAAAAACACCCTGACCCGCGTTGCTCGTGTCTACTCGTGTTTGCTAATCCAGAGACCCAGTGCTTGTGGAACTCGTCATGATTCTCGCATGGCGCGCACATTCGATTCGAACAAAGTAGGTACTACCACAGAGGCAGAGGGAATGCGTCTCTCTTAAAATGAGGAAGTGAGGGGGCAAAGGCAGGAAGAGGGGGACTAACAGTCTTGTGAGGCTGGTTAGCTGGCCGATGGTTGATGGGAGAGAGCCCGAGAGTTTCTTGTTCAATGAAAGGTCACTGAAAGAGGGGCGGGGGGTGGGGGAATAAGTGGGGGTTGGGAGGTGGGGAAGAGGAAAGAGTGTTTTGAAAGAGGAGGAGAGGGAATGTATTACAGGGTATTGCATGACGGAGTCATTCGGTGTTACAGAAGGGCAAGGCTACATGGCTATGGGATGGTGAATTCTTCTTCGTATCTGGAAACTGGAAGTAAGACAGCTTGTATTGAGGATGCTTACATCGATTTACCATGCTCATGCCGAGGAGAATGCTTACAGCAGTTGCAGGGTAGTGAGGTTGAACAGGGAAGCAGGAAGCGTGCCTAAAAGATCCACTTGCTGCAAAATTCTGGGGAAACGGGAGAGGAGAGAGGAATTGGGAAGGGTTGAGAGGGGTTGGGAAGACTTCTGGTCACAGGGTGCCTCGAATCCCTACTTGCTGCAGAATTCTGGGAGGGAGGAGGGAGGCAAGGGGTAGGGGAAAACGGAAGGGTGTCGTCTGAAATCAGGCTCTCTTGTATGCCCGATCTGCTGAAGAGGGAGGGAGGGAATAGAGGAAGGGAATGGTGACAAGGAGAACAGGAGGAGCTGCAGATTGCTGGGGGAAGAGGGAGAGAGGGGTGGATTGAGGGGAAGATTTGGAGGGAAGAAATGGTATAGCGCAGGCGAGAGGGGGAGGTAACAGCTGTAACAGTCACATCCCAGTAGCACAGCTGCAGTGGTAACTGTTTCAGCGGTAACAGTTTCAGCGGTAACAGCCGCTGACTTAAGTGACACACACTCATGGCCATGCCATTTTTGAGGCGCTTCAAAAACCGCCTCAAAAACCGCTTCAAAAACCGCCTCAAAAACCGCCTCAAAAACCGCCTCAAAAACCGCCTCAAAAACCGCCTCAAACCGCCTCAAAAACCGCCTCAAAAACCGCCTCAAAAACCGCCTCAAAAATGAGCACACACTCATGGCCACGCCATTCCCCTGTTGCTCGTGCGATGAGGTGGTTTTTGAGGCGCCTAAAAAAGCGCCTAAAAAAGCGCCTAAAAAAGCGCCTAAAAAAGCGCCTAAAAAATGAACACACACTCATGGCCACGCCATTTCCCTGCTGCTCATCGCGCGCTGTTCCCCCAGGCAGCGAAGCATGATCCAGGAAGGGTGTTTGCATGCACCTCACAGCACAGCGGCACTCACAGCAGAATAGCAGTCAAGCACAGCGCCAGTCACAGCGAAGTGACGGCAGTAGAGTTGCTGGCAGGCTCTGAAGCACGAGTTGGGAAGGGTGCTTTCATTCACCACCTCACAGCACAGCGCCAGTCACAGCGGAGTGACGATGGTCAAGTTGCTGGCAGGCTCTGGCGCAGGCGAGGTAAGGGTCGCTGCATCCTCAGGCAGTGAAGCAGGAGCACGAGCCGGGAAGGAAGCTTTCACGCACCTCACAGCACAGCGATGCTGATGTTACTTTTGAGAATTCTCGAAAGTAACATCGTCACAGCACAGCGGCACTCACAGCGAAGTGACGACAGTTAGGTTGCTGGCAGGACCTGGTGCAGGTGAGCACAGCACACGTGTGACGAGTCGGTTTTTGAGGCGAGCACAGCACACCCCACCACCATACGCCGTTCCTCCGCTGCACTCCCCACAAGACAAGGGTTGATCGCTGCCCCCCAGGCAGTGAATCACAAGGTGGGAGTGCCGTTGAGGAAAGGAAACTTTTACACACCTCACAGCACAGGGCACTCACAGCGAAGTGACAAAAGTTGCGTTGCTGGTGGAATTCGCCGCAGGCGCGCACAGCACTCCCCGCCACACCGGTCCCCCGCCAGTGCCACAGGGGTCGGTGCCCGTCCAGGTTCTGAAGACGCGGGTTTGGGATCCAAGTGACTGAGCGATGGTGGTGAGGATGGCGACTGGTGGAGGGGGAGGGGAGGGAGAAGGGGCAGGGGAGAGTGGGAAGCGAGACACCGACGAGCACACCACTCCCCACCACACCGCCCCCCCGCCAGTGCCACAGGGGTCGGTGCCCGTCCAGGTTCTGAAGATGCAGGTTTGGGCTCCAAGTGACTGAGCGATGGTGGTGAGGATGGCGACTGGTGGAGGGGAGTGGGAGAGCGAAGCAGAGGAGCAGGGGAGCAGGGGAGCAGGGGAGCAGGGGAGCAGGGGAGCAGGGGAGCAGGGGAGTAGGGGAGCAGGGGAGCAGGGGAGCAGGGGAGCAGGGGAGCAGGGGAGCAGGGGAGCAGGGGAGCAGGGGAGCAGGGGAGCAGGGGTGCAGGGGAGCAGGGGAGCAGGGGAGAGTGTGAGGGAAGAGAGAACAGACGAGCGCACCAATCCCGGCGCCCACTGCTGCTCGCCCCACAGGGGTCGGTTAGGCGCCTGTCCAGGTTCTGCAGAAGTCGGCTCTTTCCAATGCTGGCTGCACGGGGTTGGGTGCTCTTCCAGACACACAAAAGGCGATCCCTGGCGCCAAGTGACGCTGCGATGGTGGTGAGCAGGGCGACTGGTGGTGGGGAGGGGAGGGAGAGGGAAGCCGGGGTGTGCGGGTGGGATGTGATGTGAGACACCAACGAGCGCACCGCTCCTGGCCACTGCTGCTCGCCCCACAGGGGTCGGTTTGGTGCTCTTCCAGGCAGAGAAGTGGCGATCCCTGGCGCCAAGTGACGCTGCGATGGTGGTGAGGATGGTGACTGGTGGATGGGGAGTGGGGGGGGGATAGGGGGGCAATGGGAGCAGGGGAGCATGGGAGCAGGGAGAAGGGGAGAAGGGAGCAGGGAGCAGGGAGCAGGGAGCAGGAAGCAGGGAGCAGGAAGCAGGGAGCAGGAAGCAGGGAGCAGGAAGCAGGGAGCAGGAAGCAGAAAGCAGGGATAGGGATCAGGGATCAGGGAGAAGGGGAGCAGGGGGAGCGGGAAGTGAGAAACAGACGAGCACAGCACTTCCGGCCCAGTGGCTATGACACTCCACCGCACAGCACTCCCGGACACGATGCTCCACCGCACAACACTCCCAGGCAAGACGCTCCACCGCACTGCACTCCCGGCCACGACGCTGCACCGCACAGCACTCCACGGGCACAACGCTCCACCGCACAGCACTCCCGGCCATGGCGCTCCACCGCTGCTGGCCCCACAGGGGTCAATGTGCGCCGTGGTCACCAGCAGCTTAGTCTAGTCCGTTGCTCACACGGTGTCCGACTTTATCAGTCGACTAATTGAGTCACTGCCTCTGCCACTGCCAATGTCACTGCTACAAACAAACCACCACCGTTCCTACCTTGAGTCTGGTCCGTTGCTCCTTCGCACGAGCGCGAGGCGACGGCCAGAAGGAGAAAAGCAGCGAGAATCGCGCCGCGTCGACTGTGACTCTTAGTAGCACCACCGCCGTTGACGGCGGTCGCTGAGGCAGCGGCGGTAGTAACCGCAGAGGCTCCGCATCTATTTCGTCGAATAGAGCGACTTCGACGGTCAGATTCGACGGTGGCCTGATTGATGTTCGGCTTCTCCCACGAGACATTCGCGACAATCGCGACATTCGTGACATTCACGGCATTCGCGGCATTCACGGCTTTCGCAGCAGGCTGAAGCGGACGTCGTGTTCCCCCCATGATGGGGTTGGAGTGAACTGGGCCGTAACCAGGTTCAGAGAACGCACAAGACAAGTTGAAGTCTCAACGCTAACGGGGAGAACTAGCGATGGGAGGGACTCGGCGCGAAGGGATTTGGCAAAGCTGGTACGACGAGAGAGTTTTGAAGAGTCAAAACATGATTGTCTACCCTCCGATTGTAAAGTTTCTGAAAGAAAGGCGACGAGCAAAACGATGTATGAGGCGCCTCGGAATCGTGAAGACTTCCCAACTATTATAAACGAGCCGGCGAAACGCCGGGAAAAGCCGCTTGATAATACGAGGGAAAATCCAAGTCTGAGAAGCACGAAGGCAAATGTTACGAGTTCTAGGTCGAGTTAGCAGGTCGCTGTTGCTAGAGTCAGGCACCAGCCTAACCGTGTGGGTTAACCACTGTACTGCTTGCACATGACTTGATACGCGTCCTAGCGAAGTAAATAATTGCCGGAGTGCGGATACTCCGCAATTGCATCGCTCCCTGCTTCGCCCGGGGGCCACCGACGCAGCTGCGACCCATGTTTGTTCGCCATGAAACGCCATGTAATGTTTTTGTTAGGAACGAGAAATTTATAATTAGAAATGGAATGGCACTCGGGGGATGTTTAGGATGTGAGGGACATATCTTCTGGAATGTTGAAAACACACTTCGCGTGACAGAACGGTTTGATACGATGCCGGATCTAATAAAGCGGCTCATTTACATTCTAGACCTCTGCCACGCATACCTGAATCCATTCCCTGGTGGTTGGAGGGGCCACAGTGAGTCGTAGAACTCGTAACCTTTGGTGTTTGGGGGAAGGGGAGGGGAGAGGGGAGTAGGGAGGGAGGTGGAAAGAGGCGTAGGGGGAATGGTTGGGGGATTCCCCCTTCTCCCCCAACCATTCCCCCTACGCCTGGAGTGGAGAGAAGGGGAGCGGAACAGAAGGGGGTGCGGGGTGAAGCTTTCTAGGTTCCGCCGCTCGAGTCGCAATGCTGAGAAACGCGTTCCGGAGATGGACCAATCATGAGCGAGTCAATCTCCCAGGACAATTATTATCTGACAGGTCAAATTGCTGGGCTGGGGAAAAACTGCCGTAAGTCCTGCGATCAGTGTAACACAATCTTAGAGGGTAGAAAATGAGCTAGAGCTCCACAATTATTCGTGTTTTAAATGTCGAATGCGAGCATTCGTCGTCCTGCCCGATAGAATAATCATATTGACAAATTCAGCGGCTGCCCACCACACCGTCCATCACGGCGATTGCCAGTTCGACACGTAAACTCACTGTATACACACTTTTAATTGTAATAGAGTAGGCCACCACGTTTCTTTTGAAAAGCACAAATGGCAAACAAGCAATGAGAGTTACTCACAGCTTTAGCTAACAGCCATATCTTTACCACCAGTAGAGGCGCCTAGCAACAAATCGACATGTCTGCGAACCTGCTCAATATTTAGGCTTTTCCCTTCCATTCATCTCATTTGATGCCTCTGTTTCTCAGCTCTGCTGTTTCTGGAGGCCCAAAACAAGTACTTACCGTTCGTCCTCAGGCATTACAAACAACCCTTCACTCAACTGAAGTTCCTTCATTAGCCTTCCCTTTCTCTTTGTCACTTGGAATTGGAACACCAGCATTCCCATCAGCAGGTGCAGGGGCACCAGGAGGTTCAGGTGCCCCTGCTTCAGGTGCCCCTGCTTCAGGTGCCCCTGCTTCAGGTGCATCTGCCTCAGGTGCCCCTGCTTCAGGTGCCTCTGCCTCAGGTGCCCCTGCTTCAGGTGCCCCTGCTTCAGGTGCCCCTGCTTCAGATGCACCCAAAACAGGTTCTTCAGTTTTCAAAGCACTAGGCGCATCCACATCCATGCCCACTCCACTCACAGCAGCACCATCACCACCAGAAGTAACAGCACCACCCCCAGCATCACCAGCACCAGCACCACCAGTATCACCACCGGCAGTAACAGTGGTGGCATTGGCAGCACCAGCAGTAGGTGCTTCCACATCCATACCTTCACCAGCAACAGCAACATCACCAGGAGCAGCAGCAGCACCACCAGTAGCACCATCACCATCAGCAGCAACAACAGTAACAGCAACATCACCACCAGCAGTAGAAACACCACCATCAGCACTAGCGGCAGCATTATCTACAGCGGGAGAAGAAGCACCACCAGCAGCACCAGCAGCAGATGTGGCAGGAATATTGCCTGCTCCCTCTTTGCCTACAGCCCCTCCACTTGCAACATCTCCTGCTCCTGTTGCTGCTGCTGTTGCTTCTGCTGCTTCTGCTTCTGCTACTGCTCCTGCTTCTTTTCCTCCTACTTCTGTTCTCGCTGCTGCATCTGCTCCTGCTTCCTCTGCTGCTACTACACTTCCATCTCCTTCCACTGGTACCTTTGCTTCCTTTTGTGGACTTGCCTCGTCCATCTGAGTATCTTTCCCCTCATTAGCAGAAGCAGGAGTTGTAGCAGCAGCAGCAGGAGCAGGAACAGGAGCAGGAGCAGGAGCAGGAGCAAGAACAGAAGCGGGAGAAGCAGTAGCAGGAGCAGTAGCAGGGCCAGCACCACCAGGAGCAGTAGTAGCAGCAGGGGCAGCAGAAGAAGCAGGAGGAGCGGCAGAAGCAGCAATAGGAGCAGGGGCAGCAGCAGCAGGGGCAGCAGCAGCAGGAGCAGAAGCAGCAACAGGGGCAGCAGGGGCAGAAGCAGCAGCAGGAGCGGCAGAGGCAGAAGCAGCAGCAGCAGCACCAGGGGCTGCAGCAGCAGGAGCAGCAGAAGAAGCAGGAGGAGCGGCAGAAGCAGCAACAGGAGCAGCGGCAGGAGCAGCAGGAGCAGAGGTGGTTGCAGCTGCGGGTTTGACTGCTACAGAAGGCTGAGAGGGCCCAGGAGGGTTGCTGTTAGGCTTAGAGCCACTCCCAGGCACAGCAGCCACTGCGGTGCTGAGGGGTTCAGAGGCATGCACCCCCACTTGCACACGTGTATCCACATCAGCTCCTACCTGCAGGCCAGCATGCCCAGTTATCACTCCGAATTCCATTCCATCCTCCTCCTCCCCCTCTCCTTCCTCCTCCTCTTCATCCTCATACCCCTCCTCTCCTTCTCCCTCCTCCTCCTCATACTCTTCACCCTCAATTCCCTCCTCATCCTCCTCCTCTTCCTCCTCCTCCATCTCTCCTTCAAATCCTGCACCTCCCCTCCCCCCCGCTCCCCCCATTCCCCCCCGCCTGAACCCCCCTCCCCCCATAACCCTATCCACATCCGCCATATACTGTCCCAGATCTCTAAATCTCCCCCCCAACCCCCCGCTTCCCACTCCACCACTTCCCACTGCCCCCACGCCCTCTCCGCCTGCTCCCCCTCCCCCTCCCCTTCCTCCCACTCCTGCTCCCACTACCCCCCCACCCTCGCCCCCTCCTACTCCTCCTCCCCCTCCTGCTTGTGTGCGTCTCTCGTTGTATTCCCTCATCTCTGCCACATATCGCTCCCTGTCCCGCTCTGCCTGCTCCTGGTATGGCTGGTAATAAAAAAAAGGGGGAGGAGGAAAGGTGTGTGCGTGTGTGTGTGAGGAAAGGGTGGTGCCGAATACATCTCCTCGTTGTATTCCATCATTTCTGCCATATACTGCTTCCTGTCCCACTCCGCTTGTAGTAAGTCGATTTCTGAGTCAACTCAAAAACTGACTTACTACACGTGGGGTAAGGGTGGTGCCGAATACATCTCCTCGTTGTATTCCATCATTTCTGCCACATGCTGCTTCCTGTCCCGCTCCGCTTGCTCCTGGTACGGCTGGGGGAACAAGGGAGGGGGAAGGAGAGGTGGGGAGAGGGGGAGGGGGATATGGAGAGAGAAAGAGACGAGAGACAGAGAGGGGAAAAGGGAGAGAGAGCGAGAGAGGGAGAGAGCACAAGAGAGGAGAGCACAAGAGAGGAGATCACGAGAGAGGAGAGAGCCACCCATCGTTTGCCGATGAGAGAGGGAGAGATTGAGAAACAGGGGGAATAGAAGAGAGCAGCGCTCACAATGCGGTCTTGAGGAGAAAGGGCCATCCACCGCTGGCCGATCAGCCGGCTGATCTCACGATCCGGCACGTCAGGCATGTCAGCCTTGAACTTCATCCTCTGCTCCCCAAAAAAACGGCCCCTACCTCTCGAGAGGCTGCCAAGCTGCTGACGGAGTACCGCCAGCGCTGGAGCGTGTGCCTCCAGAGGGCGCAGGCAAACGCCCTCCGCACCAAGACCAATGAGGCCCTGGAGGCGGACGAGCTCAGCCTGCAAGGGCCGTGGGCCCCTCTCAACGAGGGGCAGCTGCACCAGCTGATTGAGCCCCCGTCCGACCACTAGGGCCGGACAGCGGGGGGGGGAGGGGAGTAGGTGATGGTTGATAGGCCTGCTTGTTTGCCGCCTAGTTTGCACGTGTCAGCTTCAAACCTTTGTACCACCCTTCAGCTAATACACGGACCATTCGAGAGAGGGGAACTCACAATGCGGTCTTGAGGAGAAAGGGCCATCCACCGCTGGCCAATGAGGCGGCTGATCTCACGATCCGGCACGTCAGGCATGTGAGCCTTGAGCTTCATCCGCTGCTCCCCAAAGAGAGCAAGAGAGAGGCACTCACAATGCGGTCTTGAGGAGAAAGGGCCATCCACCGCTGGCCAATGAGGCGGCTGATCTCACGATCCGGCACGTCAGGCATGTGAGCCTTGAGCTTCATCCGCTGCTCCCCAAAGAGAGCAAGAGAGAGGCACTCACAATGCGGTCTTGAGGAGAAAGGGCCATCCACCGCTGGCCAATGAGGCGGCTGATCTCACGATCCGGCACGTCAGGCATGTGAGCCTTGAGCTTCATCCGCTGCTCCCCAAAGAGAGCAAGAGAGAGGCACTCACAATGCGGTCTTGAGGAGAAAGGGCCATCCACCGCTGGCCAATGAGGCGGCTGATCTCACGATCCGGCACGTCAGGCATGTGAGCCTTGAGCTTCATCCGCTGCTCCCCAAAGAGAGCAAGAGAGAGGCACTCACAATGCGGTCTTGAGGAGAAAGGGCCATCCACCGCTGGCCAATCTCACGATCCGGCACGTCAGGCATGTGAGCCTTGAGCTTCATCCGCTGCTCGCCAAAGAAGAAGTTATACCCCGTGCGGTTCTGCTTCGGTGGCACCACCACCCCCGCCACTCCCCCCGCTTACAGAGAGGCGGAGAGGGCGAGTGAGGGAGAGGGGACGAGAGCGAAAAACGGAGGGAGAGGGAGAGAGGGGAACTCACAATGCGGTCTTGAGGGGAGAGCGCCATCCATCGCTGGCCGATAAGCCGGCTGATCTCACGGTCAGGCACATCAGGCATGTGAGCCTTGAGCTTCATCCGCTGCTCCCCAAAGAAGAAGTTATACCCCGTGCGGTTCTGCTTCGGTGGCACCACCACCCCCGCCACTCCCCCCGCTGCTGCGGCTAGGAGTTCGGCCCGTCTCCGCCTCTTCCGCCGCCGCCGCCGGCCGTGGGTTTGGGAGCGGATGAGGGCTGAGTCGAGGGAGAAGGCGTTGAGGAGGAAGGAGACGGGCTGGGGCGGGGCGAACGGGGAGGAGGAGGTGGTGGAGGGTGGATGGTAGAGAATACCGTGCAGCACCTGCCAGGGAGAAAGGGCACGGGGCCGGGGGGGTGAGGGAGGGAGAGGGGCAGGGAAGAGGAGAAGGCGTCTTTCGAGTCGACTCAAAGTAAAGCTGGAGCTAGCAGTTCGGCCCGCCTCCACCTCTTCCTCCTCCTCCGGCGCCGGCCGTCCGTTTGCGAGCGGTTGAGGTCTGAGTGGAGGGATGGGGCTGTGCAGCATTTGCCAGGAGAGGGAGGGAGGGGAGAGGAAGGGGGTTGGGAGAGGAGAACGGGGGTTGCAAGAGAGTAAGGCGAGTGGGGATGGTGGGGAACGAGGAGGAGACTGTACAGGGTGGGTGGTAGAGGAACCGTGGGCACACCTGGTGAGACAGAGGGGCACACCTGGTCGCCCATCAGCACACCTGGTCGCCCATCAACACACCTGGTCGCCCATGGGCACGGTGATGAATGATGCCTGAGATGAGCAGATGCGTATGGCACTGGGGAACATATGTAAGGCACTAGGGGGTCACACTCCCGCCCATCAGCATATCTGGTCGCCCATCACCACGGTAATGAAAACTTTTGAGACGTCTCAAAAGTCCCCCATCAGCATACCTGGTCGCCCATGATCACGGTGATGAAATAGTCATTGTCACACTTGGAGCGGATGATGCCTGAGATGAGCGCATGTGAAACATCTAAGCCTGTAAAAGAATATTCGGTATTCGAGAACTATTCGATATTCGTTCGAATACATGAATTCGAGAGAATAAGAAACGACCATGTATTCGAAAATATTCGCATCACGGGTATTCGTGAATGTAGAATATTCGGGTAACGAATATTCGAGGTATTCGTTACTATTCGGTATTCTATCATTAACCCCCCCCTCGTACTTTCCCTACATGAGGCTGTCTGTGTACCAGAGGTCGTGTGAGAGCTGTGCAAGAAAGTAGCTGGAGAGGGTCGTGGTGTTGGTAGTATAAGGTACATTGTATCACCCTGTGTCGACACTGCCTCTACAAGGATTTCTGTATTCGAAATTTAATCATATTCGATTCGGATTCGGCAGTATTCGAATCGTATTCGTATTCGGTTTTGGGTCAGTATTCGTATCGTATTCGTATTCGAGTTTGGGCCAGTATTCGGTCAAATAAGAAACAACGCATTATTCGGAGAATAGGGAGAAAAAATATTCGTATTCGTATTCGTATTCGTTTTTACAGGCTTAGAAACATCTGGTGAGACTGCTACAAGGCACACCTGGTCACCCATTATCACACCTGGTCACCCGTTTGCACACCCAGTCACCCATTCACACACCTGGTCGTCCATGGGCACGGTGATGAAGTAGCCGTTGTCACACTTGGAGCGAATGATGCCTGAGACGACGAGCAGATGTGTATGGCACTGCGGACCAGACCTGATCGCGTATGTATGGCACTAGGGGGTCACACACACGTCCGCCCAGAACACACCTGGTCGCCCATGGGCACGGTGATGAAGTAGCCGTTGTCACACTTGGAGCGGATGATGCCTGAGATGTTGCGCCCTATGTTCGCCAGCTGGGGCGCTGGCGAGGCGGACAAGGGAGGCAAGGCAATGCGGGGAGAAATGGCAAATCCGGGGAAAGAGTGGAGCGAATGATGCCTGGGCAGATGTTGTGCCTGTGGCGGGGTGTGGAAAGAGCAGGGAAGAAAAGGGTTGGGCGGGGCCGCAGCAGACCATGCCTGAGATGTTGTGCCCTATGCTGGGCAGCTGATAAAAGTAGTTTTTTGAGACGTCTCAGAACACTACTTTTATCACGTGAAGATAATGCCTGAGATGTTGTGCCCTATGCTGGGCAGGTGGAAATTGAACGCCTGCTATTGCTTCTTATGGACTGTGAAGGGTTACTAACATGAAAAGGTGCTGACGAGGGGAAGTGCTGATGAGGAGAAGTGCTGATGAGGAGAAGTGCTGATGAGGAGAAGTGCTGACGAGGAGCAGTGCTGACGAGGAGAAGTGCTGACGAGGAGAAGTGCTGACGAGGAGAAGTGCTGACGAGGAGAAGTGCTGACGAGGAGAAGTGCTGACGAGGAGAAGTGCTGACGAGGAGAAGTGCTGACGAGGAGAAGTGCTGACGAGGAGAAGTGCTGACGAGGAGAAGTGCTGACGAGGGGAAGGGTTCCTGTGGGAAGGTATTATCGAGGCGAGGACACATGCCTTGTCTTTTGGCGCATGTAAAAAAAGGGGGGTTACTTACGGGGAGGCGCTTCAAAGCCTTGCATCCTGCGTGCCCCGCGCTTGCGAGGGAAGTGGGTGAGAGCTGCACACACACACAGGGCGAGCAGAGATGTTGGAGTAGATGAGCAGATGGGGGAGAGGGAGGCGAAGAGGATAGCGATCCGATGAGAAGCCAGGGGACGAAAGCACTCACGAGGAGGGGGCACAAGGGGACCTTGGCCCCGGGGCACCAGGGGCACCAGGGGCACCAGGGTTGAAGAAGTAGGTCTGTTCGATGTAGTGCAGTAGAAGGATTTGTTGATGTAGAACTCGTGGGAGAGGAGAGGAGGATGCGTTGTGACCTATGCGGCAGCACCGATGGAGAGTGATGAATCTACTCACGAGGAGGGGGCCTAGGGGCCCCTGGCGGTTGAAGTAGGTCTGCTCGAAGTGGTGCAACAGATTGATGTAGAGCTTGCATGGTGTGGCATGTAGATAGGAGACATTGGTGGTGGTGGCGGCGTGCAGAGTGAGCACCACCGGTGGAGGGGTGGGGATGGGGGGAAGGGGGACTCACGAGGAGGGGGCACCAGTGGCCCTTGGCGATTGAAGAAGTATGTCTGCTCGAAGTGGTGCAGTAGGTTGATGTAGAACTTTCGGAGGACGTATGAAGCACTGGTGGTGGTGGGCGGGAAGTCGAACGGGATCGTCACGTCCCTCCACTTGCGATCCGCTATCACCTGTAAAAAGTGAAGAGGGGGGAACGGGCCGTGTTAAGCCCGACCAAGTCTACAGCTCGCTGAGAATATGTCAGAAGATTCTCCACTTGCGGTTCGCTATCACCTGTAAAAAGTGAAGAGGGGGGAAAGGGAGGGTGAAGTGGGAAGCAGGTCCAACTCGCTCCCTCCCATCTCGATAAATAACACCTGCACCACTCCTCACCAATTCCACCCCATCCCCACCCCTCCTCACCTGCATCAAGCCCCCTCGGCCTGTGACTTCACGGTACAGCAGGTGCAGGTCCAGCTCCCTCCCTCCCATTTGCGGGATCCTGCAGGCAGCAGGGAGAAGCGATAGGAAGAAGGAGAAATCCGTAGACGTTGCAAACGCCGCTTCGAGTCATGAATACCCCAGAATCGAGCTTGACACGTCCCAGAACTCACCTCAACGACCCTCCCAGTTGATTGTGAAACCGCGCGGGCAAGTCAAGGAACAGCACGCGAACACCTCCCCCCCCCCCCCCTTTTCCCCCCCTCCCCAGTACCCGCCAGCAGTATTATTCAGTATCTCTCTCACCTCAACGACCCTCCCATTTGGTTGTGAAACCGCGCGAGCAAGTCAAGGAACAGCACTCGATCCCCCAGAATCGCCTCGTGCGTCGCTAACGGCTGCGGGTAGTGGTCTACCGGCCCGCCGGCTGAACCAGCGAAACCTGCCGGCGCCGTCATCGCTTGTGGAAATGGTGGCACGGGAGAGGCCATATCGGTTAATTTTTACAGGGTAATAACTGGATTATTAACGGTTGTAAGCTGTTGTTAGCGGTTCTGAGGGGATCGCAGAAGAGAACGTCGAGCAGCCAGGATAGCGGTTCACGAAACGCAGGACAGCGACACAACAAGCGAACGTTGAGGTTGAATGGCCAGTTTAGGTTTCTAAATCCACTACCGGGATCGCAGGCACTTCGACCTCTGATACCGTATCTTTCAAGCTGCTCAGTACTGAAGCGGATCCCTCTCCCTCAATTACAACGTGGGTGCTCCCTTGGCCCTCGACGATCGTTGTGAGAGGCGAGGTTTGAGAAGACTCAAAAAGCTGCTCAGAACTGAAGCTGATCTCTCTCCCGCAATTACAATGTGGATGTTCCCACGCACTCGATGATCGCTGCGAGAGGCGAGCAGCGAAAAGAGCTATAATGGAGTCAGCAGCGTTTTAACAATTCTTAGCTTCTACTCGTATGACTCGCAGCGTCGTCATTTAGGCAGCGCGTTATGCAGTACATTCGTCGTGATTACTCTCCGGCTTGATCAACTAAAATGCTACTCTTCAGCTGGACTCACTGCACAGTGGCCTCTTCTTAGGTTCGCCAATATTTTCTATGGCGTAAGCAACACTCAGGCAAGCTGAATCGAAGAAATCTTGAGAGTGTCGCATTTGTGCTTGCTGGCTAATGTGGGCCAAGTAAACCAAGCCCCAGGTTTGCTGTTCTGTGCTAAAGCCATTTCAACTTTACATCAAGCCGAACAAATATCGAGGTGGTGTGCTTTTTCAGTGAGGCCAATCGAATAATCCCGTATCAAGGACACCATCCTCGAAGTACTCGACTCGACGTGTCATTGCCACGTCAACACTCTAGGGCAATCCCAAAAGCCATCAGCTTTCCATATCCCGCCGTTCATTTCACAGAGCAGTTCATAATCAGTCACATCCGTTTCGGAGACCTCTCATCAATGCCTGTCATCCCCTTGAAACCGTACAGAAACGAACTACTGTGTACGATACCGCTCTGAACCATATTCAATTCGAATTTCCCACTCACGTTTCAGCCTAGGAACGAATTGCTGTGAGAATCGATTTAGCCCAACTGGTCTGGTTTTATTAGTTGCTGGAAACTAGACCTACGATTGGTCGGTTCCCCTAGTCTAACCATTGCAGCTTTTTGCTTCTTTGGTAGTGTTGCTCCCGACTGTAAGCTGAACCCCTCAGTTTGCGTGCACGTCGTTCCTGGTCTAACTGCAAGCTTCAGAATCCAGGATGGATAAGATTTTCGGACCCGCGTATACCGGCGATCCCGGCGTGCCTCACACTGATAAAGACATATTTTCCGGCATTTTCTGGGGAGCCGTCGGGTTTTCGCTCTACTCGGTAGCCGATCCATATTACTGGCAGCACTCAACAGAGCACAAGTAAGTTCGTCGAGTCCGTGTGTCTTGATAACTGATTCGTATCACAGCCAGCAGACGACTGAGCACAAATCTTTCCGCTTGGTTTGAAGTAGAAGGCGCATGCAATCTTCTACAGGCGAGCATGTCCCTGGAAAATGAGCCTTTGGCACAATCTGTTAATGTAAATGTAAGAATTTACATTTTCATGGTCTTGTGGATCACGCTGAAGGTGAGTCAGGAAAATAACGTTCTCAGCTTCGGCTGATTGTCAAAGTACCTTTCATCCTTTTCCAACCCTTACGCTGACATCCCATCCCTTCTTTCCCTTCACGATCCTTCCAGCTGGCACGACATGGCGTACATTCACGAGAACCATCAATTCAAGAAGGCGTGCCGGCAGAGAAAGCCTTACGAGCCTAAGGTGCGTGTTTATTATACGCTTCCGTATTGACTCCAGGAGGTTCCTGGAATGAATGCCTCGAGTCAAATCTGTTGCTGCCTGTGCTATGCGTCATGATGCTTTTCACCATGTTGTTTGTCATCCTCTCTGCTTGGTATATATGTTTCACATGAGGATGGGTTTTTCTGTGGCTATTGTTGTGCAGTGGAACAAAATGATGTCCAAGGAAGTGAGAGAATCTTACTACAACAATTGGCGTGACTATTTTCCTTGAGAGCATTTTGTATCTGCCCCTCTACTGTAACTAGTCAAATTTCTTTCACTTCTCAGCTTGTACAACATAATAACAGGGCACTGCTGAACTTCATCTTTAGCCACTTTGATTGACTGAGACCTGATAGCACAGTGATAGCTACGAATCCTTCTACTGCAAGATCAGTTGAAACTAGTTGGCAGGGAAGGGATGGGAAAGAGGTGAAAACACAGACCTAGGATGAATTGCAAACTTTCACGTGCCTCCGAAACATGAGGAACAACTTGGAAGGATTGGGGAGCAACATAAACAGAGTTTGTCTCGGGTAGCACGGGGGGAGGAGGGATAGAGGTTGAGAACAGGTGCACTCACTAGACGAGCTTGTTTTCGGGCCGTAGGTGTGGGGGCAGGCCAACAGTGGCGAAGGCATGGAGGAAACCGCTGTGAGAGACAACTGCTATGGATTGCTCCTTGAGTCCGAGCAGCCTAGGGAAGGGGAGGGGAGAAAGAGCCGGAGAAGAAAGAAGCGGGGTGACAATGGGGAAGAAAAACAGGGAAGGATAGAGATGTCGTAAAACAAGAAGCACCCTAAGACTTGAGGAAAAGCTGCTGCTGAAGTATGGTACCAGCCTGACAATTACAGGCCTGAGTAAGGCGGTGGAAGAAATATAAAGTGCCCCGTGCTGCTAGCATACGATAAGTGAAGGGTGCAAGGTCCTGGAAGTCAGAAAAGCGCACCATGCGGCAAGATCAGTAGTTCTTACGATACATCTCAAAAGTCCTCTCAAACGCCGGCTCAAAAGTCAGACAATCGCACGCACCATGCGGCGAGATCAGTAGCTCGTTGTGCGATCTCCTCACGAGTCTCCCTGGGCTCCACCTTCCACAGCGCATCCTCATCATCTGTGATCTGCCGTACGGTGCGGTGCGGTGTGGTGTGGTGTGGTGCGGTGGGGTGTGGACATCAGTGAGTATTAAGGAACGTCCAAGAACTCGAGTCTCCCTGGGCTCCACCTTCCACAGCCCATCCTCATCATCCATGATCTGCAGTGTCATCCGCAAATGGTCATGCTCACAAAACGAGTACAGGTTTGCTTGAGGGTTAGGGTTACAGCTTCACGATTGGGTTCTGTGCATGCATGTACGACGCGACACCCATCGAAGTAGACATTCAGTGCAAGAACACCCACGGCATGGCACTGCACAGCACGACACGATGAAAACAGCCAGGAATGCACAGCACATAAAAATTCGCACTGCACCGCACTACACCACCCTGTGCCGCACAACACCCAGAACGCGGCCAGCACTGCACCTGACTGAAGTCCACAGAGGAGAAGAGGTCCTTCTTTTCTCTGATTGGCCGGCGCTTGTCACACACATGCACATGCTGTGCGGGAGGGAGGCATGATAGATAGACAAGTGGATATATGTGATATCAGAAAAACTGGAGGGGAGAGGGAACAGGAGGGGTGGAAGGGAGCATGGGCAACTACATGCGTGCATGCTTCTCTCTGATTACTTGGATTGGAGCTTATTGCACATGTGCACACACAAAAATGTACGTGTGAAAGCAGACACACACACATGTGACACACATGCACATGTGACACACATGCACAAGCACATGTAATACACATGCACATGTAACACACATGCACATGTAACACACATGCACATGTACTACCACACATGCACTGTGCACATGCACATGTGACACACATGCACATGCACACCTCTCTGGTAGGCAGGCAACACGATGTGGGAAATGAACTGCGGAAAGATGTGCTTTATCAGCAGGAGACGCGAATGAATGTGCTGTTATCTGGGTAGGAGACATTGTGACGCGCACATGATTTCACGCATCACAGTCAGCATCACGCTACACCTGCTCACTCACTCCACACTCACCACCCCTCACGGCGCAATGACTAAACCCCATCCCGCACTCACTAACACCCACCTACTCACTCAACTCATCTCAGCTCACCAGCGTTTCTCTGCAGAGCTCGTTTGCCAAAATGTGTGCTGGCAGCGTGGTGGTAACCTGGTTACCACCTTCAGTTGCCACAGGAGCCGTCACAACAGTCGCAGGCACAACCGCTTCCACCCCATTGGTTCCTGCTGTGCACCCGTCCACAACGGGAAAGTTCTTAGAAGCTGCTTCTTTTGGGGGAAGGTCGACTGGAATGGCAGTGTTAGGAGGGCCAAAGGCGCCCACTGCTGTTTGCAGTGTGCTGATGAAGGGGAGGAGGGAGTGAAAGAGGAGGGGAAAGGGAACTGTGAGTGGAGGGTGGAAAAGGTTTGTGTATTTGTACGCGCCTGGAACGAATAAGACCACAGTGATATGCAGCATAAAGACATAAAAACTCCGAACTTACTGCAGAAAGGGAGAAAGGAACACAGTGCACAACGGTGTGAGGAAGAGAGCTTGGGAGAAACGAGTCAAAAGTGACTCTCAAAATAGAATTCTCAAAAGTGAGAGGAAGGGAGCTTGCTTACCGCAGCAGGGGAGAAACGGGCACAGTGCGTAACAGTGAGGACAAGTGTTGACTTATTTCAGCAGGGGAGACGGAACAGTGAGAGGACACAACTTACCGCAGCAGGGGAGAGACGACTATCAGGTCAGCAGGGAAGCCTGGAGGAGGGTTGGCCGCTACTTGCCTGCGCAGCTCTGCTACCTGTGGTGTGGTGGTTGGAGCAATGGGGGAGGCTTGAAGCGAGATAGACGCAAGTGCAAAGAGAGAAAACAGAGTGAAACAGAAAGCAATAACTGGACGTTGCGGGTTGGCCGCTACTTCACTGCGCAGCTCTGCTACCTGCGGTGCGGTGGTTGGAGCAAATGGGGGAGGCTTGAAGCGAGATTGAGCAAATGAAGTACAACAGAAGCTGTTCACTGAAGGATTTGGAAAGAAAAAGGAAGAAATAATTAGAGCTGCTTTGCAGAATCAGACCTGCTCAAATCCCTGAGTGCTGAGCGGGCAGTCGAGATACTTTTCGAGCTTATACTGCTCCGTGTCCATCACCAAATTGTGCACTGCCTGCCCGTGACGAATCTGACCACAAAAAGAGCGCCAGGGAAAGGATGTATTGGATATTGAGCAGGTCACGCCGTCACAGGATCAATTGAAGGTGGGAAGATGGGATTGGGATTGCACAATGTCGGTGAGACGCTGAGATTGTGCATTGACACTGAAGTGGAGGCGTGTGAAAAGCGTCAGTGAGATGGCGAGAATGTGCAATGTGAGTGACATGGTGAGCTTATGTAATGTAAGGTAATTATACGTTTGTGTAATGACAGAAAGCAGCAAGGTTGCATATGCCGGATGGGGCGGTACATAGCTCGTCAACGAGCTCGTTAAGTCATAGAAGTTAATTTGGGCAACATAAATGGGGAGTTCGTGCAATGTCAGTAAAGGATGGAATTGTGAAATGCAATGTCTTATATGCCGGATGGGGCGGTAAGTAGCTCGTCAACGAGCTCGTGAGTCATAGAAGCTCCGTAACTTTGAAAGAGGAGGGAGAATTGAACGCAACCTAAGTTGCGTTTTACGGCTCAAAAAGTGCGTCCTTCTCAAGACTCCAAGCATTTTTTAGCAATTTATAAGCAATCGCGCACTGATTGCCTCTCGAAACGGAACTGTCGAAGGCAATCCCCAAAAGAATAACTGACTGAGACAAAATATTGCTTCTCTTCCAGAAAGGAAATATGTAGCGTGCATTACGATCAGAATAGGGCATAGACTACGTACGAAGCATAGAAAATATGTTCAGGGTTAGAACGAACCAGGTGAATGACCTTCGATCGCGGTTTCGTCGTGTCGCCGTCTTTGCACGATGCAGCAACGGTTGGGTCCGTAAGCGGAGTTAGGTTCCATTTCAACGTCGACATTCTTTGTAACCAGTCAATAATTAAGCAAGACGATTAGAAAATATGGAAACGACGACAATGCCGCTCGATACTTCAGAGTGTCTTGGCAGTCACTTGCCACTGTCGGGCTCAGATACTCACTCTCGTACCAGTCCGACTTTTGCCTCGCCTCACTACCCCTCCCGCTCCCGAGAGCTCCTATGCTGCTGAGCTTCTGTAGCTGATCTACTCGATAAAATCCTCGGTATTGCCAAAGACCGTTAGACCAGCAGCACTGATGGTTCTGCTGTATATTCAAAGCGGTTTACTACATTACCGCCTTGGAACGCAGCAAACCGAACAAGACCGTTCACCTAGTTTAGAAAGACTACTTCTTGGGACCACGCAACTGTATGATAACCAGACCAGGTTCAGTTCCAACGAGCTGTGTCTTCAATAGCGCTATCCGCGATATCCTAGTAGACACTCTCAAATCATGTTATCCTTATGGCTTCAACATGAAATGTATTTTGTAAATGCAACACATCCGTATGTGAGGCTGACTTGCCCTGTATAGCCGTACATTTCTCTGAAGGTACCGGTATTACCCACAGCTACATCACAAGAGGCAAACCATATCAAACAAGTGGAGCATCTCTCTTATTTTGTTCAAGGCACCACTACCACAAGGTATTCCTATTCATGCCACCCACACATAATCACAGAAAATGTGCCACGTTTCTAAGCTGTGCAGCGTTTCCCCCTGTAACCATGCATGCGCGCACCGCAGCCTCCTTAATATCCTCCTCGTTATCCGTCACACGGCCCAGCTTGCAGCTGCATTGATCAGCCCAGAGGCAGGGTTGGGAAAGGAAAGAGGGGGGGCTGTGGGTTGAGCGGGGGGAGGTTAGGTCAGGGAAAAGAGAGGTTTGGTCCGGAAAAGGAGAAAATGACAGCAGTGCGAGATTATCATCTATATAGTTTAATTCGACTAGACAGTCAAGGTCAAGCAATTGGGAAACGCGTGTGCATGCAAGCGCGTGCGCACACACACACACACACACACACACGCACACGCACGCGCTACCACGCACGCACGCACGCGTGCGCACACACACACACACCCACACACACACACACACCCACACACACACACACACACACACACACACACACACACAGAGGACACAGTGCAGGCAGCTTTTCTCACCTCCACAAGCAGCCAGCCTCCTCTAATGAAGATCTTGACACCCAAACAGAACAAGATCTTGACACCCAAACAGAACAAGATCTTGACACCCAAACAGAACAAGATCTTGACACCCAAACAGAACAAGATCTTGACACCCAAACAGAACAAGATCTTGACACCCAAACAGAACAAGATCTTGACACCCAAAAAGAACAAGATCTTGACACCCAAACAGAACAAGATCTTGACACCCAAACAGAACAAGATCTTGACACCCAAACAGAACAAGATCTTGACACCCAAACAGAACAAGATCTTGACACCCAAACAGAACAAGTTCTTGACACCCAAACAGAACAAGATCTTGACACCCAAACAGAACAAGAACTTGACACCCAAACAGAACAAGATCTTGACACCCAAACAGAACAAGATCTTGACACCCAAACAGAACAAGATCTTGACACCCAAACAGAACAAGATCTTGACACCCAAACAGAACAAGATCTTGACACCCAAACAGAACAAGATCTTGACACCCAAACAGAACAAGAACTTTGAACCCGGAAGGGTATTTTTCTGGATAGAAGAAAAACAAAAAGTAGCCAGCACACAGGCACACCAGCACGCAGGGACACCAGCACGCATGGGACGCTCGCACCTCTTCTGGTAGTGCTGCAGCAGCGCAAGCGTTTCGTCAACAGTGAAGCGCGGAACGTTCAACCGCACGCCCTTAGGCACCCCCGGCAGCACTGCCGGAAGCCTACCCACTGCTATGGACTCGGAGAATGCAGCGGCCATGATGCCACTGGCCTCCAAAGGGCGGAAGGCGTTCACCTGAGGGGGATAAGAGAGATGACATTTGGGGTACATGCAAATTGGGGTAAGCGTCTGACTGAAGCAGCATCACCCCCAGCAGCACAGCAAGCAGCCTCCCCACTGCTATGGACTCGGAGAATGCAGCGGCCATGATGCCACTGGCCTCCAAAGGGCGGAAGGCGTTCGCCTGGGAAAATGGAAGGTGATCATTTGGGGTATGGGAGGGGGTTGGACATAAAAATCAGGGGTGTGACTGAAGCAGAACCCCTTTTGAGTCGACTCAAAAGAAAAATCAGGGGTGTGACTGAAGCAGAACCCCTTTTGAGTCGACTCAAAAGAAAAATCAGGGGTGTGACTGAAGCAGAACCCCCGGCAGCACTGCCGGGAGCCTCCCCACTGCTATGGACTCGGAGAATGCAGCTTCCATGATGCCACTGCCTTGCAGGGGGCGGAAGGCGTTCACCTGAGAATACGGAAGGTGACCAGTCGGGGTATGAGAGGAGCCATGGAGCAAAAAATAATAATAATAAATCAAACAAACAAACAATACAAAGGGTGTGACTGAAGCAGCATCACTGGCAGCAGTGCAAGGAGCCTCCCCACGGCTATGGACTCAGCTGCCATGATGCCACTGCCTTGCAAAAGGACGCCTCAAAAGCCCATCCCCATCAGCACACCACCCGCCACACTTTTACAACCACCCAACACCCAACACCCCCCACCCACCACCCAACACCCACCACCCACCACCACCCACCCATCACCCACCATGCGCATCTCCCCAGCATGTATCTGCCTCCGGCTTCTGTCTCCTGTGGATTCAAAGAAGCCCGCGAATGTGAACCATGCGTTGAACTGCACGCACACACACAGGGGGAGAAAGAGGAAAGAAGGCAGGAGAAGAGTGGGAAACAGGGTGCGCCCATGTAATGACTGCAGGCATGTAATCTCGGGACGACTTAGAACAGTCTCCCAGTAGACGACTTAGATTAGAACAACGTTGTTCATCTGCAAACTATCACAGTCTCCTCGCCCAGCTACTAGCCAAGGTCCCATTTTCCTTGGCTAGTAGCTAGTGTTAAGAATTACACTGTCTTTTTCCTACTTCCTCAAGCCTAAACCTAAGCGCCGCTGCTCACTGGAAAATGTCTGAAGATCTACTATCACAGTCTCCTCACCCAGCTTCGCTTTCCCCTCTCCACTCCCCACTCCCTCACCTCGTCAACAGCAATCATGGTGGGAACAGAAACCACTCTTCCCAGCTCCTCCCTCAGTCAAATCATTGCACTGGTGATAGTGTTCCCACCATCTAAACCCCTTCTCTCCCCATTCTCCCTCCCTCATCTCACCTCATCAACAGCAATCATGGTGGGAACAGAAGTCACTCTTCCCAGCTCCACCCTCAGCTCAGATGGATCATTGCACTAGTCATTGCATCCCCGCCATCTGCCCCCCCCTCTTCTTCCCCCTCCCTCGCTGTCCTCACCCTCTCCCCCAATCTCTCACCTGTTCAACAGCAATCATGGTGGGAACAGAAGTCACTCTCCCCAGCTCCTCTCTCAGCCAAACCACCATCTGTGGCTGTGCCCCCACCATCTAATCTCCCCTCTCTCTCTCTTCCCCACTCTATCTTCCTCATCTCACCTCATCAACAGCAATCATGGTGGGAACAGAAGTCACCCTTCCCAGCTCCTCCCTAAGCCGAACCACAACGCTCGTGGCGGCATGTGAGTGGTCGGCTCCATATTTCACGAGATCTCCCAGCGACCAATCAGAGCCTGGCGATACGACCTGGCTGCCCCGAGCCAAGCCGATGCCTGGCCCTTCCCCCAGAGTGATTGGTTCGGGCAGCTGAACGGGCAGAGAGGACAGAATCTCCTGGTGGGCTGCAAGAAACGACTGGCAGGGTGGTGGAAAGGGGAGAAAAGGGGAAGATGAATAAAACACCCGTCCTGCATTGAATTAACTCAAGAATGATTAATTCTGATAATGCCACTCAGAACACTCATCACACTGAATCCACTTAAGCAGCTGGAAACCGTAGCAATTGCAATAACGATCATCGCACCTTGAGTGCTGCTTGTGCTTGTATAGGGGTATCCCAAATCGCCTTTCTTCTCCCTCCAGCTCCCACCCTCACTTCTCCTCCATCCTCCACCCTCACTCCCTCCTCTCCCCTCTCCGCACCCTCACTCTCAGGATGTTTGTAGTACAATCCGTTATTCGTCCATTCTCTAGCCTTGGGCACGTAAAACACCAACCACCCGTTTGCACGGGCCCAGAACACTGCGGTCAGCAGGAGACAAGTTTTTCCGCTGCCCGGATGGCCTCGGAGCAGAAACGAGCCTGGGGAGGAATTTTTAACCTGCCCTTCAGAGCTGTCGGAAGGTTCCACGGGATTACTGGAGTTTGATGAGCTGGACTGGTGATCTCGGGCAGCTTGAAGCTTTTGAATAAATTCTTTTGTGGCTGCCCGAAGGAGAATGGCACGGGACTTAGAGGCCTCAAACTCTTTTTCCATTGAAGGAGGGAGACCCTCGGGAAGGTACTGCTGCAAATGCTCCTCACTGTAGAGAGGGTGAGTGTGGTTGAGTATGAGGGAAAGAGTGTGTGAGTGAGGGGGAGTGCGAGGGGAAGGCCCTTGGGTAAGTACTGTTGCAAATGCTCCTCACAGTAGAGTTTGTGTGAGTGGGGATGAAGGAGGAAGGCGACTGGGTGAATATTACAGCAGTGCAGTGCAGATGCATATCACTCTAAAGAGAGTAAGTGTGAGGGTGTGGAGGTTGTGCGACTGATGCCAAAAACATACCTGAACTTACCTGATTTTACTCAACCTTACCTAACAGTACCGAACCTCACCCAACAGTACCGAACCTCCCCTAGGCGTACCTAAGCTCGAACAGGGTGTTTTCGTTCAGGTCCAAGAGATCTTTAGGGTGAACTGACGTCAATATGACGTCACCTTCCCCCACCTCCCCCGTATCTCCTGCATTCTCCGCCTCCTTCCCCGCTCCGCCGGCCTTCGCGCTCGCCTTGCGTGCATCTGTACTGAACTGCCGCGACCAATCCGCAATTTCCACGCGTCCCTGCGAGGATCCTAAAACCTCCGAAGCACGACAAATCTGAGGTCTGATCGATCGCGATTCGAAGGGGGTATAGGAGGTCACTGGAAGCGAATCGCCGAATGGCTTTAAAGCCCGACCTAGAGTCTTTTGATATTCCGGCGATCTTTCCTCAACTAAAGCTCGTCCTGCGATCTCTCCCCTATCATAACAACATTGACGGCTGTCCGTTAGTTTCTTGACGTCCGGGAGGAGGAAACTGCCGGCGAGGGAAGCTAGCCGGCCGTCGTTGACACTGCCGTCGGCTCGCGCCGCGGTAGAGCGAAGCCCGGCGGCGCGAATGAGAGGGCGCCACATGGGATCAGGACGTCGAACGCGATCGGCGGACAAAACCGCGGTGCGGAAGAGAGATTTTTGTGGTGCTGATGAAAGGAGGTGTATCCTGTGAAAGGAAAGTAACGTGTTAGAAGATTCTCCGATAATGCACAAGAATCGCTTAAACAAGTCAATCAGATGCTTTGTATCGTATAAGTATAATACAGCTGTATTAGGTGGTGAAATACACTTTTTGTTCAGTTCTCTACAACATTGCTCTACGATTGTCCTCCCACACTGTGTGCACTTTTTGCCCCACTCTACAAACAACCTTGCCCACATTCACTCGGATGCAAAGAGGAAGACCACCACACAACATTTGTAAGCTATGTCCGATGGAGAGTAACTGGTCGAGGTGGTTACCAGCTACCCAGAGCAGGGAGACGTGTGGGCGTGGGTTCTGAAATTCACATAGGGACACACAGAGATGGTACGTCCACGAGTGTGAGTAAGAGCAAAAGGATTTTGATAGGTATGCAGAGCATGTGGGCAGCTTAGGAGAACAAGGTAGGTACAGGGAGGGATGTGGGTTGGCGGATAAGGGGATATGAGAAGGAGAAGCGGTAGGCAAAGGAAAATTCATGTGGTATACTTCAAAATACGGAGGCACAAGAAGAATTACAAGGGTGGATAACATACATCATAGTACGGAGGAAGACCGTGAACAGCATATGCCTGGTCGATGCATTGAACCAGAGAGGTGAACTGGGGCGGGCAGACAAGGCAGTAGTGAGAGAGAGACAGAAGCGAGGAAGTTGAGAATCGAGTGGAGGAAGGCCGTGAACAGCATATGCCTGGTCGATGCATTGAACCAGAGAGGCGAACTGGGGGCGGGCAGACAGGAAAGTGGTGTAGGAGCGGAGAGAGGAATGTAGAAATCCACTGGAGATATGGAAATTGCTTTATCAGAAAACCGAAGAAGGTTGGGTATTAAAGTTGTGAGGTACTGTAAAAGGCAAGCTCGCATGGAGCACGTGGGTCAGTGGTGAGCAAGGGACGAGGGGAGGTTGCAAACAGAGCGGTGTAGTGGGAGAATGAGGAGTGCTGAGCATCAGAGGAAAAACAAGGGGTCTGAATCACAAGAGCTACAAAATCAGAACTGAAGAAGGGTCAGGGCCGAAAGAGGAGTTCCAATCACACCACACATCAGGCAGTCCCTCCCGGGCAGCTTCAAGGGTGAGAAAGGAGCGAGTCTTCTCATTTTTAACAAATGGATACTAAGCCCACATAACAATGATCGCAAGGTTACCTCAGGCAGTCCCTCCCGGGCAGCTTCAAGAGCGAGGAAGGAGCGAGTCTTCTCATCGTTAACGAATGCCGTCCACTTGTCCAAATGCAAGTGGAAGCTGGTGCCGTGGAAGGGGGTTGGGGGGAGTGAGTGAGAAGTGATGGAAAGAGAAAAGCAGCGAGTCTTCTCATCGTTGACAAACGCTGTCCACTTGTCCAGATGCAAGTGGAAGCTGGTGGCGTGGAGGGGAAAGTGACAGGAACGAGAAGAGAGGGGGAAGGGCAATGATTGAGTCATCTTGTTGGTAGTGAACGCTGTCCACTTGTCCAATGGCTGAGACGAGAGTAGAAAGAGTGAGAAGAAGAGAGAGGGAGGGAGGAAGGAAGGGAGGCAGGGAGAGAGAGAACAACAGCAGCAGGACAAACATCATACTAATCACCTTCCTACCTTACCGTTTTTGTGGCTTGAGTCGCAAGCGCAGCAGGCTGAGAAGGGAGTCGATCTGATGGAAGCGGATGGGGACAGTGCGAGCAGCTGTCATGTGAACCTCCCCTGTAACCAGGGCATGCATTGCAGTCGCAGTAGTAGCACCACCACCAGCACCAGTAACAGTAGCACCAAAACCACAATCAGCAGTAGCAGCAGCACCACCAACACCAGCAACAGCAGCTTTGAGAGAGTCCGGGTCCACGGGTGCCAGTGCAGGGAGGGCGCTGATGGCAGTGCGGAGGTGCGATTGGAGGAGCGGCTGGAGAGAGGTAGGGATGGAAACTGCAGGGCATGGGGGATATGGGAAGGATGGGGAAGTCTGAGAGCAGCGAGGGGTCTGGTTGCGAAGGGGAGGTGTGATTTGAGGAGTGGTTGAAGTGGGGAAGTCAGTGGATAGAATAAAGAGAGCGCGTCTGAGCAGCGGAGGGGGATGAATGGAGAGCTGGCTGAGAAGTGAAACGAATCACGAAATTGCTTCAACCTTATGGTTCTGACAGACGAATGGTCAGAAGCCAGCTCGCTCACACTCACCTGGAATGAAGACATGAACGGCGAAGTTGCCCTCAACGTGGGGGAAGGTTCGCACTCTCCCTCCGTAATCCGCTTTGACCTTCGCTTTGCTAGCACCCTCACCTGAGCAGAGAACGAGCATGTAGAAAGTATGACGGAGGGTTGGCGGGAAGGGGAAGAGGGAGGGAAGGCAAAGGGGGAGAACAGGGAGAAACAGAGACGTGGGGAAGAGAGAGATCACCGTGACACGCCTAAAGGGCACACGTGAAATAGTATAGGCGACGATGAACATGACAGATCAGCCTATCCGTGTGCAACAATCCAACCTTGAAGATCAGCAAAAAGGTCATCTGGAGGAGGTGGAAGAAACACTGATGCAGCAGCTGTCGTTCCTGCTGCTCCTCCTCCTGCTGCTGCTGCTGATGATGATAATGAAACTCTTTGATTTTGATCTCTTGACGCTGTCCGTCTGTCTGCTGATGTCGCATATTTTCCCTGTTTGCCGCCGATCTTAAGCGACATACTCCCTCCGTCATGTATCATGTCTGACGGGTTCTGTCTGTCGCTCATCACCGCTGACGGATTCCGTCTGTCATCGGCGCAATCACGCCTGCTGGTTCCAGTAAGACTGTCATTTTCGCTCCGCTAGGCAAATGTGTGTTCGCTTCCTCTCCTATCTTCGACGTCTCTCCTCCCTTCGGCTTCTTTCCCCACTTCCTCTCCTCGCGCTCCACCACTCCTCGCGTCTCCCGGGCAAATCCGTCTCTTCTTACATACGGCGTACCCTTGCATGGTGCTCGCCTTCTCCCCTTTCCATCTATCTGCATCTTCTACCTCGTCACTTCTAGCCTTTCCAAGAGTTCCGTCTTGTCGTTTTTTATCTCCTTTCAGGCGCAAATCAAGCTCCTCATCTTCGTCGCTCGCATATGCCGCGAACAATGCGTCCATGTCGGAAAATAAATTGACAGGTATGTTAGCAGGAGCCTCAACGAGCTCAAGGTGGGTAATCAACAGGACTGAGGGATTCGGTGCTCCACAATTGGACGTTCATAGTCTGCTTCTTTTCTGGGGTAAAGATCCATCACATGACACATTAGGGCGGGTCAAACTTTGCACGTATTCTCAGATGTAAGGAAAAACCCTTTTCCTTACAGGGGTTTACTCAACCGCGTACAACCCCAACTTTCGGAAGTGCACGTTCGGCCACTTTCCTTGCTGCCGAAGCAACCTCGTGTCGCCTTCGGCCTTTCCTTTGCCCAACCTGCACCCAACCTCGTGTTCCCGAGGTTCCCGCCTAGCTAGGTTGGCCCACTATATTAGCGCGTGCCTTCATTGTATTGTCAGTTCATTGAGTCACATCTTCGTTATTCGTTATTCCGCGCACTCTCTTTTACAACTCATAACACCTGGTATCAGAGCTACTTTCCTAGTTCACCCCGCTTTTCGAGGGTAGTTTGGTGGCACGAGTGTGGTCGGTATAGTGGACTACACGACGGTTGGCTGCAAGGTTTGTTAATTCAATCCTGCCCGACTCTGATAGTTCGTGTTTTCCACTCACCGGAGGGCCACGGATACCCCTCTGCCCACCAGACGAAGCGTGCGACTCATGGACCAGGAGACATTGAACAAGATGCTGGCACAAATGGCAGAGCTACAGGCAACAGTGAAGACTCTATCAGCAGAAGTGACAACACTACGAGGAGAAAACGCCGAGCTACGCCAGACGCGAGGTGAAGCGCGTCAGGAGTCGCCCGATGAAGAAGGCGAGGGCAACAGTCAAGCGGTGAGCAACCCGTTGGACGCGCTCACACGTGATTTCGAAGAAGAGGATAGGCAGCGAGCGGCAGCGACGCCAATTGCAGTAACGACGATCAAGATTAAACCCGTCAACCCGCCCCCGTTCAACCCTACGGACAAGACCACTACAGTGAAGGGGTGGCTTTTCGGCGTTGAAGTCCTCTTCACTGCAGCAGGCGTGAACGACGATGCCACGCGTATTAATTACGCGGTTTCGCTTCTTCGAGGCGCAGCGCTTGAGTGGTGGCGCCGAACCTTGGACACGGGGACCCCGACAGGTGTGACACATGCGGCAGACGGGACTTCAACGACGGTTACTCAAGTGGCAGCACCGATATTCGGCGTGACCAAGATACGCACGTGGAAGGAGTGGGGCGCAGCCTTACGAGATCGCTTCGAGCACATATCCGGCTCGGAACAAGCTCGCATGAAGCTGCGTACCTGGTCGCAGTTGGCATTTGTCCAAGACTACACAGCAAATTTCATGGCCCTCGCCGACCAAGTGGACGACATGTCGGAAGCGGAGCGGTTAGACAAGTACGTCAGCGGCCTTAAATACGAGATACAGTATGAGGTGCGCCGATGCCGCCCGACATCGTTCCTGGAAGCAGCACGGTTAGCAGAATCCACGGACGCGCTGATGCAGTACGCGAGGTCGAGTTTCCGGGAGGGAAATCGTTTTCGCGGCCAGACCCAACGGAGTCCATGCACCAGACCGCCCCTACACAGGGTTGTGTTATAAGTGCGGGAAGCCGGGTCACAAATATGCAGACTGCCCCGAGAGAACGCCGGCGAAGAGGAACGACGGGAAAGAGCCAGGAAATGGGAAGAGTCAGTAACAGACGGGCCCCTTACTGACTGTGCTCTGTCGCCCGAACACCATCATCCCCACCGAGTCGTGCTTCCGATTCATGCAATCGATCGCACTCAGCCGAATAACGGGCATAACCATGTGGATCACCCTGTGATGGTCGTTGGCAAAGTGTTAAAAAACTACTTGAAAATGTTCGTCGACGGAGGGGCCAGCCATAGCCTCTTCAACTTGGCGACAGCAAAAAAATGCAAGCTGCAACTTGACAGGTGTCTGCCCGAAATCGACGCTCGCCTCGTGGATGGGACGCCTCTGGCGATTTTGGAAGAAACACGGACGGTGCGGATCGAATGCGGCGATGATTTCGGCTTCAGCATGAAGTTTCTCGCGACGACGCTGGACGGCTGCGACGTGCTGCTGGGACGTGATTGGTTGCGACGGCACAACCCCGTCATCGACTGGACAACGGGATCGTGCAGCATCAGCAAGCACGAGGGGCTAATTAAGTTGCCTGCATGGACACCTGACTACATCCAAGCCCCGTGCGTCAAAGCCATCACAATTGCTCGCCACTTCAACCGAGGCGCGCAGCTGTTCGCCGTATGTTTGCGCGAGTTGGCAACCGACACCGACGGAAAGGACATCGAGAAGCTGTGCGCAGCTGTACCACCTGATTTAGCGGAGCTGATTCGACAGTACCCGGACATCTTCCCCGACGATTTGCCACCTGGACTGCCACCCGAACGCCCCGAGGACCATAAAATCCAGCTGGAGCCTGGCGCGCAGCCGGCTGTTCGTACATAGTGGCGGTTGACCCAACCGGAACTCGAGGAGCTGCGACGACAAATTGAGGGACTTTTGGAGAAGGGGTTTATTCGACCCAGTACATCTCCCTTCGCAGCCCCGATCCTGTTCACGCCGAAGAAGGATGGCGGGCTTCGCATGTGCATCGACTATCGTGCGCTCAACCGGGTGACCATCAAATCTCGCTATCCAATCCCACGCACCGACGACCTCCTCGATCAACTTCGCGGCGCTCGCTACTTTTCGAAAATCGACTTGCGTGGCGGTTACCACCAGATTCGGGGCTTCGCCGACGACTGTCACAAGACCGCGTTTCGCACCCGCTATGGAAGCTACGAGTTCAGTGATGCCGTTCGGCCTCACAAACGCGCCTTCGACATTTCAACTGACCATGAACAGAGTTTTCCGGGAATTTCTCGACAAGTGTGTGATCGTCTATTTGGACGATATTCTGATTTTAGCAGGACAAGGGAACAACACCTCCGCGACCTCGACGCAGTGTTTAAACGGTTGCAGGAGAACCGCCTCATCACCAAGGGCTCTAAGTGCGAGTTCTTTAAGCAGGAGTTGGAGTTTTTGGGGCACGTCATCTCCCGCGACGGCATCAAAATCGACCCGGCGAAAATCGAGACTATTCAGGAGTGGAAGTCCCCGACTAACATCACGGAACTTCAGAGTTTTCTGGGCTTCGTGAATTACGTCAGGCGGTTTATCCCAAATATGGCGGGGATAACCGGCCCGCTGACCGACCTGCTGCACAAGGACAGGAATTTCGTGTAGGGGGAGGACGCTGAGGCGGCTTTTCAGGAGTTGAAGAATTTTCTCGTTTCCCCTCCGGTTTTGCGCATCGCCGACCCATCGAAGCCGTTCGAAGTCGTCACCGACGCCTCAGATTTCGCCATCGGAGCTGTACTCCTCCAGAATTTCGGGAACGGGCTGCAGCCGATCGCCTACGAGTCACGTAAGCTGCAGTCAGCCGAGCGCAACTACCCGATACATGACAAGGAGATGCTCGCCATAATACACGCGTTCAAACTGTGGCGCTGCTACTTGGCGGGCGCCGACGTCACTGTTCGCACGGACCACAAGTCCCTACAGTACCTGCGAGCTCAGCCCAACCTCAACCCGCGACAAATTCGGTGGCTGGACTACATGGAGAGCCACTTCACCTACCGCATCACGTACAAGAAAGGGGCGAATAACATCGCCGACGCCCTTACCCGACCGACGGTTCAATCCGCTGCAGTACTCATCACCCACTCGAACCCGCTACTTACGGGATTATTCACCCACGGCTACACTACGGTCCGTTCTTCACGACAAGAAATCACCAGCAGGCAACGACGCAGAAGGGGAATTATTACCTAAAAGCCGGAACTGACCGGATTTGGGTTCCCGCTTACAGGCTGCTGCGTGAACTCCTTATTCAGGAGGTCCACGACTCTAACCTCTCCGGACATTTCGGGGTTGATAAAACCCAGAAGCTGTTGCACCGTCAATATTATTGGCCTGATTTTGCTAACGACGTGGAGCGATATGTGTCCTCATGCAGGGTGTGCCAAGCCATGAAATCGACACGTCAGCGGCCAGCTGGACTGCTGCAACCCCTCGAGCCACCCGAACGACCGTGGCAACAGGTGACGATGGATTTCGTCACGGGGCTACCAGCTGGGCCGTCCGGCAACGACGCTGTTCTCGTCGTCGTCGATCGCCTCACGAAGATGGCGCACTTCGCACCGTGTCGTACAACAATCACAGCAGAAGAAACTGTGCGCCTTTTCATCTCGACCGTCGTGCGACTACACGGAATCCCCGCAGCGATCATCAGCGACAGGGACCCGAAGTTCACGTCGAAATTCTGGAAGGAGACGTGGGCGCAG